AGTGAAAGACACAAGATGGCATTTTGACTCAGTGAGCAAAATCTCATGGAACCATGCGGATGCATCTACCAAATCTATTTCTATCTGTTTGTCTGAGGTGAATTGAAGCATGCAGCAGGGGATTACCTTCAAACAATTAGCTTTTACAAAGTACCATGCAGCATTGCTCCTTTGAAATCGGCTGGTGGCAAAAAGTATATGACCCAATAAATGCAGAGCAGTAATGAGAGGTGTTCAAACAATGACCTGGTTGATTACTTTGAGGCTGGAACTTACAAAATGCTGTTTCCACCAGGAGCGTGGGCACAAAGACTTGGAAACAGCTGATTGGCCTGCTTAAAGCCTTTAGCTTTGTCAAGGGAGTCTTTAGCCAGCCTCCTTTGTACTGGCTGTGTAAAAAAAACAAAAAAAAAACGCCAAAGAACTATGCAGGAGGAGAGACTTCCTGACAGCTCATTTAGCATTCTGCCTGCTTCCACCCACTTAATCTGGAGCCCCCACCTCTCTGACGTTAGCGTATTATTTTATGAAAAACAGAACATCATGCCATCCTTCCCATTATGGACACATTTTAGGCACTTCACAGTATGGGAACAGTCAACACAGAGGGAACAAGTAGTTTTTTTAACGCAGCGTCTTTTCACATGCCTCTGTTCCTGACACACTTGAGTCCAGTCGTGTACATTAATAAATGATAGTGGCAGAGCTGACGGGATTCACGCCCGCCTGGGCACCAGCTGCAATTATAGCCGACATGTCAAAAAGACACAGCTCCAACCGGAGGAGACGACCCAATCAAACACGAGGCTGGCTGGGTCTGTCTGACACTGTCTGGAAGAGCACTGGTTGACAAATAAAGTCCCCTCACTTGCACTGATAACAAGTATACACTTCACTCCTCCAGACGGCCTGGGACCCCTCAGTACAGACCTGCTGGGTCTCCAGAGGTGTAGGAGTTCAAGGCCCACCACTATTTTATTAAAGACAGAACAAGGCCAATCTAAGACCTGTTCACTGGGAGGATACATGACAAGTTTCATCTCTATACATCATTTTACTGATTCTCTGGACAAAGATCTGATATCACAAGGCTTTCCAAGATATGGTTTTGATTTTATTCCATTCAGGGGCCTGGAAATGATATAGCAAAATTAAATTCCCATAACACAAGTCACATTTATTAACTCAGAAAAAGTGAAATATGAAATGTGAAAACAGAAAGACAAACGTTACTTTTTAAAGCTCCAGGAGGAGTTTTAAGTTGTTTATGAAACGGACTGACATTGAAAATGATGTCTCCATATGACCTACAAAAAACCAGACCATCAGGAGAATGGCGTTTTAATGCCTTGTTACCTCTGCCACCAGATCGCTGCCAGTCGAGAATAACAGTTCATTGCTGGAACATCCTTTGTCCCCATTTTCACAACAAAGATTTACAGATTGATTTCTTTGACTCTAGAAAGAAAGAATTCTCAGCAGAACTCACTTCCAACGTGTGTACAACACAAGATCAGCAAAGAGTTAGGATGTACTTCTTTGTCCACGGGGAAGCCAAGATCGACACAAAGTTCCTCACAGCAGCTTGAATTAAATCTAAAAAAAGAAAACCCAAAAATGCAATGAAAAGTAAATGTCATAATGGCTTTTAAAACACAAGCCTGCACGTTTTCTGTTTCCTGAGAATTGATCCTGTTATGGCATGTTGGCATGAGGCATTTGCTTTGACTCTTGGCCCATCTATTCTCTGAAACCCAAAATATATTCACACTGATTTGTTCTGAGAGGACATTGGGCTTAACCACATATAAATCAGCTGATCCTTCAGTCACCTATCTTAAAGGCCATGATTGAGATCAATATATTATCTCTGTATAAGTGATATTAAATGCTTGATCATTAAATTGATATAACAATTTATCATTGAACCATATTTGTAACAAAAGACTAGGATACCTGGGGAACTCTGACAGTGGTCATCTTATATAAGTAGTCGTATAATATAGCCAACTCAGTAATATGGGGTTGTATTTATTTTTATGCAAGGCTTTTTTTTGGCATCTCTCCAGGTCAATAATTATAGAGGACAAGTTTATGAGTGAAAGATTAGACAGCATTTTGGGTGAAGACTAACCTAGAGACAGAGTCACAGAAGGAGTAAAGCCATCAAAAGAGTAAAACATCAACATGATTACATGGATGGCTACATGGTAGGAAAAGTATTTTGGTTTTCATTAAACGTCAGAGGTTTTATTTGACCAAAGGTTTTAAAACTCCAGCAGTTTCCATCATTACCATGCAGTGTTGATGTCAGCAGAAATTATAGGAAATGCTGATTCTGTGATCTTGTGTTACCTCAATACACAAATGCCATCATGTGGTACAGTATCATTGCAAAAAGGACGGACAGACAGAATTTTTTTTTATCACATATCTGTATCATTGACGACCAATGAAATGCAATCCCCACAAAGGAATCTATTAAACCAGAATAACATGAGCAGGGAGTGCAAGCCATTGAAAAGAAAAAGATGTCAATCAATAACGATGTCTGAGACAGGGGTCTAAAATATTCTCTAAATGTTGGCAAAAGAGCCTTCAATGTGCAGCTGAGAGTTATGAACAATTTGATAATGACAGCAACATCAATTAGAGCTGGATCCTGCAGATCCATGCAAAAACAAAGAAGCCTAATTTACTGCCTCTGGTAGGGACTCCTCAAGGCGCTGTTCCAGGGAAGAACTGCTCATGTACCGCAAACATAAATTATGACAGATTGTAGCTAGACCTACTATATTTTTTAAATATTAGTCTAATAACAAATGAAAAAACAAACATTCCCTTGGTTTAGGGACCGAGATGAAAAAGACTCCCCGATTACATTGTGGATATTTTGAATCACTCTTGCAGACACCCTGAGCACCACTTAGCATGTTTAGTAACAAAATTAAGGTCACAATTTCAAAGCGACACACTGAAAAGATTTGGCCCAGGAGAAAGTTTGTCTAACAGGGAGTAGTCCAGCAACGCTTGCTAAGAGAGGGAGCTCTCTGATTGGTGATCAGTAGACCAATCAGAGAGCTAAAAAGGGTCAATTACACTAAAATAAGATCATTTTGGTAGTTGATATCTTAATCAATGAGGCTTTTAGGAAGCTTTAAAACGCTTTAGAGCACGCTCAAATATAGTTAAAAAAATCAGATCAAAAGGTATCGTATGTTGGAGATATCTGCAGACTTTCCTATTCACTCTGAAACATTTATATACATTTTAGATGCTCTGTTTCTTATCAATGATATCAATACATGAATTTTAGCTTTGTGATTTACTGAAAACAATACCCTGGTATTATGTTAGTGCAGCCAAATCCCCTTTGGCTTGTTGCTTGGTATTTAATGCCTCACAATAGCCCAGGAGTAAATCCATCCAACAAGCCTTAGCTTTGTGTATAAACTTTATTTAGTTTATTTTCTATTACAAACGACAGCTTTATGAAAAGAAGGGTGAGAGAGCATGACACAGGTTACAATTAGTGCCATGATTTGTGGTTTGCTTTTTACTTTCTTCATTAGTTGTTTCGTCGATGACATGTGAGAAAATGGTGCCAAACTATAAATGGCAACAAATTACTACTTTTTCCATGGATTTCTTTCAAAATCAAATGAAAATCACCAGTAAATCCACCATTTAAATGTTGGATAATATAAAAAAAAATTAAACACATCTTCATGGCTTGTGGTCTAAAATGTTTAAACCCCAAAGATTTTCAATTTCTAATTATATTTATCAGAAAAATAAAATAATTATAAATTAAAAAGTGTTATTGCTTGTATTTTTGGTCACCATAATCACTTTGGTGAAAGCAGGCAAATAATTGGTTGTTGATCAAACAATGAATTAATTGGATTGTTTCAGTTTTACTCTTAAAGCATGAGCACTGCAGGGCTTCATCATTTGCATTCAAAGGTTTTGTTTAGTTAAGGCATCTCAGTGTTCAGGGAAAATCCCTCGAGCCAGTGCCTGGTATTGTACAGGTTTTAGGTATGCTATATTGTTTTAAATGACACAATTAAATATATGCATGACCCTTCTCTACTGCTTGATCAATAGGGCCTATACTGAAGGGCTGAACCATGACTAATGGTGTTAATTTGGCTGCTCAAGACCTCTGAGTTAGACCATAAACAGACCAGCCCTGTTCACAGCACAAAGTAAACCTAAAGATTCAAATCATGTCTCAGCCAGCTCAGTGTAATCTGGTGGAAAACTATTTTGTTGCCACACAGAAGAGGGAGAAGCTTTTGAATGTCTGAGGGTGTGTGGGTGAGCAAAGCTTAGAATGGAGCAGGCACGGGTAATACACACACACAAAAAAAAAACATTAATCAAAGATGAGTCTCAACATGAAACAAGAATTAAACAGAAAACATTATTCAAAATCACAAAGTTGGTGAGCCTCAGCATGCACACTGGAAGGACTCCAGGGCAGGGACTGCAGCCGAACAAGTTATCTCATCGCTACCGACAACCTGGGTGTGTCTCAACACAGGAATATTTTCCAACTTGTATCATCCACAGCATCAACCGTGAGGCTGCACACAGTCTCCCCTTCATGCAGCTCTGTAGCAGCTAAAAATCCCCACAGCTAGTCCGGGATATTTTAAACTAATAGGCCAACATTAAAGCATCATTAAAGCTCTGTAATTATTCAATTTAACTTGAAGACTGCAGGCTACAATTCACACACTATAGTCAATTGTGTGAAGCCTCACAGGCTGATAATTGAATTAAAATAAAACCCTCCCCGCATTCACTCTCAAAAACACTAAAGAAACACTTTAGGCGTTTTCTTCTTCTACGGTCTGAAAGGTATAACTCAGAAATAACGCCCAGCTTTATTATTTCCGTCGATGAAGTTGCAAACTGGCGAGCAGGTGCAGCGGGTTCACTTGACACACGACCAGAAATGAACTTCTTGTGAGAATTAAGACATGTCTTACCACTTTGCTCCCCGAGAAAGACGAGTTTGAATTTTCTTAAAGGGTTCCCAAAGTCACTGCCCACGGACATTTTGAGGAGGAGGAGGAAGAGGGGGAACTCTGGACACCGGAGGACGGTCTGAGAGCACTTGTGTGTTCCCACTCGAGTCGCTGTCGGTGGGTGAAGATGCTGGGTGGAAAAGGAGGAGATGTTGCTTTCCTCTCTCTCTCTCTCTCTCTCTTCGTGATGGGAGCACACTGCTGCTGCTGCTGCTGCTGCACCGGTCCGTGACGCTTCGGGTGATTTTTTTTCTCCTCCTCCAGCCCGAGGCTTCTGCGCATGCGCGGCCTCTCCTCGTTCTCAGCTGAACTGACAGCCTTGCTATAAAATGACGTCATGGATGAAGGAATGGACAGAAATTTAAGATGTGCTGCTTGGGTTTAGTTTCATTTTTCTTTTTTTTCAGTTTCATTTTTGTAAAAGAGCCTCTTCCCTTGGTTAATATAAATAATGAAGATAACATGGCACACAGTTGTGTACATCATGTAACAAAAAGGTACGATATACGTTTAGTTTAACCTTTTTTTGGGTGTGTAAGCTAAAACACAATCATTGTAATATTTGACACTATAAAGGTTACACAAAGGGAGGTTAAAATGATAAATATTGCTCTTCCAAAAAATTGTGAAAACTTCAAGAGACAAGTTATATGATAACAGTCAAAAATGATGCAGACAAATACAAGTGCAAAACATACAAAACATAGCGAGGGAGGTCAGTAAAGACAGCTGAGCAATAACCAGGCACAAGAGATTAAACAAATAAGCAAAAACATTTAAAACAAACAAACAAAAGAAAAACAAAGGAAGGAAGGAAAGAAGGAAACCCTTTAAATGTGATGGTCTTCAAAAAGGTTGCTGGTAAGAACGAGAGTGGGGTGTATGAGTACACATCAATAAATGGGTAGGTGTGTGAGCGTGTGGTTGTGTGTAAGGTGACTGTTGTAGGGGGTGGGTGGGGTTGAGGATGAGGGCTTGGTAGCTGGTGTTTCAGGGTTTCAGACTGGAGCTTGTCTGCTGATGATATGGTGGAAGGAGGGGCTGAGAACGGTGAACCGATGATGTCTTTCTGGCCAGGTCCCACATTGGCAGTCCCCAGACCACCAGGGGGGTGAACTGGCCAACAGCAGGGTCCAGCCAGTTGAAGGTGTGTACATGTTGGTGGGGGGCCACAAGACCCTGAGGGGAGGGAGCCCCCCTGTCTTGTACTTGTATTTGTTTCTCCTTTTTCTAACCATATAAACCCAAAGCAAAGAACAAAGATTTCACATGACATTTTTATACTTTGGTCATTGTAGGGTTCTACTGTGATGTGTTTTTGTTGTTATGGTAACTTAACTGTTAAGGTTGGTTGTACTTTGATGTTATGACCTGCTTTTGACCTCAGAAAGCTGCTGTCATGCAAACAGCTAATGGAGATCTACATGAAAACAAACAAACACCAGTGGGTTGTTTAACCGTTTTGAAGCCCTGGGTTCAGCATTATATCAGTTGCCATCCTTTTATATTTTTGGAGCCAGAATTTGACATATTATGTTCAGAGAGTAGAGCTGAAGGTGACAAAGTGCCTGAATTAAGCAATCAGCTACCGCTCCCTCTAGCTCATTAAACCACCTGCAGCTGTCATTTATAACTGTTTATTATCAGGGAAACAAAGAGACTGTAAGTCTGTTCTGTAAGAGCGAGCACGTCTGGCCTGAGTCAATCTGATGTAAATGATACAAGTCTTAGGTGTGTTTACTCTGTTTTAACAGCCTTGAGACAAAGTGCAACCTCCTGGACTAACCCAATAAGAGCGACTTTGCCTCCCTCTTACAGCGTTGGATTCTACAGTTACCATAACTCTGTATGAGAGGATCTTTACTTTTATGCTTCATTGATGTAAATTCAAGGCTTAACTGTACCATGACCTGAATGACTGAGCACCTACACAGACTTCATTAATGTACCTCTTTTCATTTTCATGCCATGTCTAGCTAACTTGTAACACTGGCCTTTTTATTAGAGATGTGTAGACTTCCATTTAAAAAATATGACTCGTCCTCGGGTTTTCTAAACAGTAAAATAAAAATAAAGATCTTCAAACTACATTTTGACTCAAGACTGCCCTAAAAAGAAACGGCCTGACGTGCTGTAAACCATGGACTTCTAGGATTGCGCACTTTGCTGGGTCGGACACCAAGCCTTGGAGACGTGAAGAGAGACATAAATGAAACTCGATAAATGGTGTATATTTTTTATTTGCCAGTAATGTTAACATGTTATGCAACCTACTTTGATAAACAACAATATAACCACACAGGTTGATAGCATATTGTGTGTGGTGTGGTTAACAGTGAATGTGATTGGTGTTTAAAAAAAATCATTAGATATGCAACTAAACCAAGTGTAACGAGATAATATATCAAATGAGCACTCTATTTATCACAGATGTCTCTGTGTATGAGACAAAAAACTATAAAAAATCAACTTAAATATTAAGCTATACATTAGTTCATTAGTTACAGAATATGTTCCCATTGGAAATAGAAACCTGACTAGATTCCTAACTTACAGGAAGAATTAAAACACAAAGATATTCATCTGTTGTCTCTTTATCAGTTGGACTCTTTTCATCGTCTCAGACGCATGTAAAAAACGTGACGTACCACAAAAGAGAGACAGTTTTTCCATCCTCTCTTAACTTGTGACGCGTGAAGCTTATTTTCAGAATATAATATCAAAAGCTTTAAATCATTCAAAGACATTGGACATTTTCGCCTTTGGAAAATGAATATCTTAACTCCAACCGGTGAAGCAGCAGGTCGAGACGTTGGCCTTCACATATAGAGGTCGATGTTGGACTTCCTCCCAGTGCCTCAGCTTTGCTCTTCACATTGTCCTCTAAAATGTTTAACAAACCTGCAAAGCTTTAACAAACTTGGACCAATTTGGACGCTCTGCATGGTCACAGGAGTCCTTCAGGCCTCTTCTCCAGACTGTACTCCTGAGTCCGCTGCACCTTCCAGCCCAGCATCATGAGCAGGATGATGCCCATGACCTTATAACCCACCTGTAAGCCCAGGTACCTGTAGGGAGCGGACACATGCAGTCAAATGATTGTCAGCAGTGAACTTTGTTGTGAGTGAGTGTGTGTGATATTTGATCTGGAAATACTTTTTTTCCAACCTGTTTCTCAGGATGTTGTTGTCATAGTAGCCACAGCTGAACTTCTTGCCGCACACACGCCTCCACCACACACACGATGTATCGATGGCCATCCCGAACAGAGCAGGAGCAGGAAGCCAAGCTGAGCAGGAGACAGACAAAATTATCCTTGGATTAAAACTGCACCTTTCCCATTGAGACTTTTATAACCTTATCATATCAATCAATCAGTCTTTAAGTGTACAGCGACAACAAATAACAAATGTTATCTCAAGAAACTTTACAAATAGCAGGTAAAGGGCCTCTCTATATATATATATATATATATATATATATATATTATGTTACAAACGAGCAGGTAAAGGACCTCACTCTTTGTTATATAATGTTACAAAAACTAAACATTAATCCATCATGAGCACTGAGTAACATTTAACAAAGTTACAGGGGCAAAGAAAAACGTCCTTTAAGAGGCGGGAAACCTCGACCAGACTGTATATTACAGTTATAATAAATGGTTATGAATACAAGAACAACACTACACATAGACAGGACCTGTGTCTTGACTTACCTAATACTCTCATGAGTAAAAATTGAATTCCTATAGCAAATGACTTTTCTTCAGAGGAAACTGATCTAAAAAGAAAAGAATAGAGAAAACAGAAGGTTGGAAACTGAATTTAAAATGTTTACTTTGTTAGTCCAGAAAACAATATTTGACAACAGTGTTGATTAATCTGTTCATTTGTTAGTTTGACAACAGTCCTGAATGAAAAAAGCCATTATTTAAAGAGGATCCATTATTCTGCCAGTTGACATCTTTATGAAGCCTTGTAAAACAAATTCAATTCAACAGATTCCTCCTATTGTTGAGTAGTTTATTTTCTATTCATTCTCAGCTGTCCTACAGTTTATTAAAAAGCCTGGTGCGCTTGTTTATCAGCTTCTGTGTTTGACTCTTTATGGACTTCAAGGAGAGCCCTGCAGAGATTGTTAAAACAAGAGCAGCTCAGTGTTCGACTGCGGCAGTATTTGGGAAGGAAACGGCCATAAAAGACTGTGAAAGGAAGAAATAAAGCCTAAACATGGCAGAGGTCCAGACTCATAGGAGGGGGAGAGAGGTAAAGATGTGTAGGATACAGTCTCTGTGCAGGAGCGATGTGGTCAGATTCAGATGTATTCATGAAAAATGGGAAGATGATAAGTTAAGTGTATGTTGCCTGGTACCATTTTTTAAAAATAAATCAATTACAATTTAAGGCATAAAACATAAAAAATAAATATAAAAAAAATTCCAGAGAAAACTGTTCATTTAACAGATCAGTGGTTTCCAAGTTTTTTCCTCAGAGGCCCCCCCTACTTGTATCTTAGAAAAGCTGACCTTCCCAGGACCCTATAGAGTGGCACATTACTGTCAAGAATAACCATCAATTTAGATTGTTTTCATTGATACAATCCCAACAGAATAACAACCACTTGTTCTACTTACTGAAATGCGTTTGTATAAACTATCCAGTAAACGTGTGATCATGAATTTAGTCATGTGTGCAAACCTAATTTTGTCCCTATGAGATCTGTGATGCCGACCCCAAGTTGAGAACAAATGCAATAGATCAAAATAGATTTTTGACCCGTTTTGAATTGATCAAAAAACATGTGTAAATGCACTGTATTGTGTTGTTACCCTTCCTTACCTCAGCACCATCATGTACATGGGGTTGTGAGTGAGGCAGGCGATCATTGATGCCAGAGAGATGACGAGAATCACAGGAAGGAGTAAATGTGGACAGCTGTTTGGACAGGCAGCTGGACGGGCGTAACTCTGACTCCCTGATATACACCTGCAGTTTGTATACAGCTGCATCATGAGAGAAAACAGAGGAAATATAAATGACGTAATAAGTATAGAAACATTTTGACTTCTTTCTTTGTACTTTATCAGAATAATAAAAAAAATTCTCTAATGGGTATAACATTGAAATGTTTCAGAAATACACATATTGACTTGTATTTGTTAACAAGCAGAGGAGGGGTGTTGTAGAAGCCAATGTCCCATGTCGACTGATGAAGTACAGTAGTATTACTGGATTTTGCGCAAATATGACTGCTAGCGTCTACAGCCCGTCGTAGAGATACATTTTGGCTTAAGATGAATTTACTTTTGCATTTGTATGCAAGCCTCAGACATAACTTGGGTTACATGACTCTCTGCACCCAGTAAAGCTGCTTAACATGATACAACAATGACATTACAATACAGCCTAAGGTTATGTCACAATCTGTTATGAATGTTGCTTAGTCACTCTATTTTCTTTTCTCAGCTTCACATATCACACAGTCTGCGTCCCTCTCTTAGACTCAGCCATTGTATCAAACAGTACAGAAACGGGCTAACTGGCTAGTGCTATAAAGCCGTACGCACTTTTCACGAGACATTCACGGCCCGTTGCATAACTAACATTGTGCTACAAGAAGGCAAACAGGGCGATCTGCGAACATGGAAGAGACGATATTCTGCCTGTTGAAAGTTTTTTTACTTTGTAATGTATTGTTGTTTTAAAGTTTAAATGATAAGTGATGGCTACATAATCATTTCATGCCAAGTATCTGTATATTATGTTGAACTGGAAGCCATAAGAACTGATGTTAGAACTAACTCTCTAGCCTCTGGTCCATCACACATTTCTATGTCTGACTGGTTTTAGTGTCCAGAGGCATGTTGGCCTGCTCTTACTGATAACACCCCTTAGAAAATCACAAAAGGGCCGAGAGGTTCAAGACTAATTCCCATTTACAAATTGATGTGGGGATGTCAAACTTGACTTTATGCAAGGCAAAGTGTCATTTGGATATAGCTTTGTATTTAACCTACAGACAAGAGAGTAACGTTGATCTCTCTTATTATTCTCTGCAACTGAGTGACTAATTATGTCCTTGAATGTTTATGTATTTCTTTAATCATGGAAAAATATTAAAAAGTGAAAAAAATATATTCAGTGTTGTAAGATTTGTTTTGTTCAAAGCACTTTTACTTTGCAGTTAACAGATAATGTTATTAATGCACATATTGAAGTGTTTTTATCACTATTCTGGAAAAGAAAAAGGCTAAATCTATACAAAATATTTAAAGTACTGAACTTGTCTAGGATGGATTTTGGTTTTTAAAGGTCACATATTATGCAAAATACATTTTAACATGTTTTCTAACACTAATATGTGTCCCGAGTCAGTCAACAAACCCACCTATTATGAGAAAAGTCCATCCTCTCTATCTTATGCCTGCTCCACTTTTAAGAAAATGTGTGCTCAAACAGGCTGTTTGGAGATTTTCTCTTCATGACATCACAAAGGGTAGTAACCCCTCCCCTAGGTGGGTAACACTCCCACAGCTAGGTGTTTGTTCTGCCCTTTAAGTCTGCCTTCACACCATAAACAATAAGGCATGGAGCGAGAAAGCCCATGCCACATACCCTACCAGAGAGGGGGCGTGGTCAGACACTGCTCATTTACATTTAAAGGTACAGACACAGAAACAGCCTGTTCTGAGCAGGGCTGAAATAAAGGGGTTTATAGGCATGATCAAATACAGGTTCAGAGTGGATTTAGAACAAGAAACTTCACAGATATTTTCTTGTGGAGCTCTGAGACTTATTGAAAGGGAGGATAATATGTGACCTTTAAACATTAAATAGAGAAAAAGGGTAGTGAAACATGATTCAGATATTTGTCCGGCAGCTGATTAAATACCACTTGTGGACATCTGAGTCCACAGGAAAGACATATAATTATCCTCTGATGTTTTGGTATTAATCCATTAAGCTAGCTGTTACTAGCAGTGTGTGTAAGGGGCTTCAGTGTTTCACAGTGGGCTCACATGCTGACTCAAACTGACTAATACTCTATTAGCAGCAACACAATCCTCCCACTGGAAGATTATTCACCAGCCGTGACGTTTAAATACTGAGGATTTGTCCCCCCTTGAAACGCCTCCTATATGCTCTGTGACTAATAAGCATTGATCAGGCATTGATTGTGTGTCACTGGTGTCCTGTTAGCAGTCCCTCTGTTTGCTCCTGCACTGATGAGAGATATATATACTGCAGATCTCTGCTGATATGAAATATACGATCACCTCCTTCCTCATGAGGGAGATTTGTCAGAATGCTTAAAAACTGAGAGTGAAACAAGATGCTGTGATTTGTGTTTTAAATCTAAGAGGCATCTGAGGCAAACAAAAAAAAGTCACACCCTGTTCTTTGTGTCAACTTGAACACGACCCCCTGAAGAGCAGATTTAAAAGCACTCTCAATGCATCTTAATTGCATTTTGCTCACAGTATGTATTCCCCGCAGCGCTCTGCCCCGTGTACACACTTAAAGGTTAATTACACCCTTACAGGCGAAATCACGAATTCTGTGCTAGGACAAGAACCAAATACTTACTCCTTCAACCCTCCCACTGTGAAAATCATTCTGTTAATTACCATTATTATAAGTTTGAGCACTTCTCCTGCTGTAAAAACAAAGTCACTATCTGGAAAAAACTGTCTTGATTACTAAGCATCAGATCATTTCACCGATTACTTCTGATTTTTTTGTTGAACAATCTTATTTCAGGTCATAAAAGGTCAGCTCAAAGTACATTTGTATTTTTTTTGCCCTATTTTAAAACCAAAACATTTTCCAATATATGTATCTTATGTTTCCTTTCTAAAACGATATTGAATTGTGTTGTTGGTGTGTAAATCATGAATTTTATGACGGTGTTCTATTTTTTTTAATGTTATAAACATAAAGACTGATTGATATTTCATTTGCAGCAGAGAGTGTGTATAACATGCTGATCTGCAGGTATTTAAACTGTGAGAGGATATATGTATTTATATATAAGTGCTTCGTAGAGGCACTGACCTGAACTCTGTGTGTGTTGTTGGGGTCTTTGGTGAAGTTGGTGCAGCCTGCATGACAAGGTGAAATATACTCGACACCATCTGAGCCACACACGGGGTTGAAGGCACTGGCAGGACAGGAGCAGTTGGAGTAGCACAGAGACAGAGACCTGTGGAGACAGAGTGTCAAAGATAAACACATGTCAGAGGCCCCACGATACAATATTATCACGATACTTGAGTCACGATCCCATATTGTTGCGATTTGAAACATTTTGTGATATGCTGAGATTTGCGATACAATATATTGCGATTAAGCTTTTTTAAATGCATATTATGTCCACAACATTTTACTAAATCAAGAACTGTTTTTTCATACATGAAAACATTCTCAGTCTATTCATCTCACTTAAGTCTTTTTATTTCTACACAATGAGAGTCAAGCCCACAGACGGACCAACCAGATTAAACAAGCCCACTAGACAGTTAACTAATCCATGTCCCCAATTATGCAAATGAACGCATTACTCTTAGCCTTAATATCGTACAGTTTTGACTAATAAAGAGCTGAGCTATTCAAATTAAAACAATTTTTTATACCAGACTGTAAACGTTTATATTTCTTCTGTTAAAATGGATATGGGCTTTTGCAGGCAGCGAGTGGACACAGGAAGTGGACACAGGAAGAACTGCATGTTTTTGCACTTCCAATTGGCTTCATTATTCAACACCAGGGTTTGCTGCTTGGTGTTAATATGAAATTCATAAAAGTCTAACAAAACCCCTTTAAGAAACAAAAGCATCTTTGTTCTCTCACTCACCCGTACTGTCCGATTTGGTAATGATTGACCTCGGAGACTTTCTGCGTGGGACAGCCCATGAAGAAGAGAGGGATAAAGAGGAGGGTGGAGATGGTCAACATCACCACAGAGAAACGTGGGATGGTCTTCAGAGAGAGACCCGCCCTCTTCATGATGATTCCACCCACCAGCATCCCCACCGCTACTGCTGGCAGATTGACAGCACCTGGAAAACCACAAACAGCTTAGTCAGCAATCTTCTGTCTCTGTGTTTTTGTTTTTCACATACTTTGTATTTTCACTTACATTCTTTAGTTCCCCTCTTGTTCTTTGAATACAGGTTTGCAAAAGAGTCAGATATTCTACTTCATTTTAGCATTTCATCTAACCAGAGCCTCTTGCTAAAACATCTGTAGAACATCTGTACTAGCATATCTTCAGCCTGTTCTCTCTCTGCTCAGTAGATTCTGAAGTATATTTGCTGTGCAGAAAACTGTGACTCAGAATCTGCCAAAATAGCATGCAGACTGCAAAATCTAACCAGATATAGTATGGCTTTCTGGTATTTCTGAAACACTGCATATTAAATTCATATATTAGGAAATTGTAAATCTGTTTCTTGTATGCTAAGAAGTAGGGCCCGACCGATATGGGATTGTTGTGTCTGATGCCTATATGGATTTTAGGGAGAGAAAATACATGATACCGATATATTGGCGGATATCTTTCTTAGATCTATCTTCGATCTGTGGAGCTAGATAAATATAGATTTACACATTTATTGCATTGATCCCTCAAATGCAATTATTAAACACTTCTGGAAAAGTATATAATTAAGAGATGATGGAACTGGAAAGTAACTGTGCATGTATGTGCATCAATGCTTGACACTCTGGAGAGTGATGATGCTTGTTGTAATCCATATAGCACACTCTGCTGGGGAAAGATAACTGATAGTTTAATAAAATGAAACTCAAATGAGATGTTTTTTGAATGGTGAATAAATCTAGTATTATTGGCGCTTATCTGCAATAAAATTAGCCGATAACGATAGTTACTGGATATGATAATATCGGCCGATTAATCGGTCGGCTATGCTAAAAAAGTATGCACGTATAGGTATGGGAATGTTGTCCAAGGGGGTTTCCACAAATCATCCACAGGTCTACTTAGCTGCAGACACCTTAACACAGATTCCAGGTGTAGCCAAGCGTCAGGACAAACTCAAAGGTAGCATGTAACAAGTTTCAGGTTACATCATTTACATATTAAGCACTACTACAGGTCTGTTGGGCAACTTTATTAAAATGTACTATCTTTCAGCCTATCAACATTGCTCCAGTCCTAACCAGGCACTACCATTGTTACCTCTATCAGTGGTAGCACGTAGCCGTCAGTGGCATGAAAAAAGACATTACATCCTAATTCAGTTTTTGGAAATCAGCCATGGTGCAAGAGGCCCGACACGCTCCATTAGTGTCCATTGAAAGACTTTAACAGACTGGTTTATTTCACTTCCACAGAGTTTATAAAAGTGGTTCAATACATATCATGCTGTACATTATGACTTGAATTATTTAGCAGCTGACATTGACTGGCAGGGCTTTAGTATTCGATGTTTTACCACAGCTCGGGCCTGATACCTGAGTGCTAAAAGTACCTACCTACAAGCAGGCTCCCATAGGCGGCTGAAGTGCTGTACTGACGCTCCAGAAACTTGTTGAGGAATGTGGAGAGACCTGCGATCACTGAGGAGAAGCAGCACTGAGCCAGGACCAGCATCAGGAAGAGAGGGCTCAGCAGGAGGTGGACAAACATCCTGGGAAACACTGGGAAGATAAAAACATATACAGACAATAGATAAATAGGATCTGTCTGTTACATCTTAAAATATGAAACACTGCTGAGTTAAGTTATGAACTAAACAGGTGCAGAATGAGTTTAACAAACTTACTTTTGAGGAAATCAAGTAAAGAGATATCCGGCTTCTTGAAGTCATCTTTCATGTCACTTTCACTTTCAATCACCTGGAAAACAATATACAGAATAATCTGTTGTGGGAGTATGTTTCAAGGGATTTCTTCGGTCTGTATTGGATATTGAATGGGGAGATTTATGAGATACAGGTACCAATTCAAAGATGAAGGATACACAGCATGCAAACAGTCCTATTCTCACTAGAAAGACTCAATTTATTGGTTTAATCAAAGCTATTTCCTCCGACCTCTCTGTGTTGTTGCACCACATTCTCCTGCAACCACATCCTGTGTCTGTGTGTGCAGTATCTATGTGACATGGCAACATTAGACTGATTTGACAGCTCTGTGCAGCGGCACCACACTGTTCATGCATTCAGCATCACTTGAAGCTGTCAAACACCACAATGGAAGATTTCTGTAGCTTTTATCCCCACATTTCTGTGAAATTCTTGATTAGGTTGAGTGTGAGATTTCCAAGAAATCAAACATTTTCAGTCTGACGTGCGTCCACATGACTAACAAAAGAACTCAAGTCCCCATTTAACAAAAACAAAATCTCTTCAGATCGAAATGTGAAATGTGTGGTAGTCGTTTGTCAAAGGTTGCAATCCGCCTTCTACTGAAAGCACTTTGTGGGGCAAGTTTTAATCATTAATCTGACGCTTTGAGGTAATATTTCCACTGTTCAAATGTTTGCATGATTTATCCATCCATCCATTTTCTTTCCCTTATCCGAGGTCGGGTCGCGGTGGCAGCAAGCTGCTTTCATGATTTAAACCTGTTTATTAGTCAACTGTTTTAGGTAGTTATGATAAGCATTTATCTATTTCTTACTTTGCCGATTGTTCCACTTTTTATAAATGACTTTAAGGTCACTACCTTTACAGCTTCTCCTGTACTTTTAACTGCCTATTTCCATAACAGACAATACATTTTTTAAAGTTATTTTTTGGGCCTTATTGCCTTTATTGGATTATTGGATAGGACAGCTGAAGAGAGAGAGGAAATGTTGGGAGGAGAGAGTGAGGGATGAAATGCAGCAAAGGGTGGAGGGTCGGAGGACGAAGACTATAGCCTCCTTACATGGGGCGCATGACATAACTGCTAGTCTATCCTGCGTTTCAACGGCCGTTACTTTTAGCTGATCATTTCAATCATTTATCCGCAGCTTTATGTTTACTATTTCAACTTCTAAACTTTCTGTTTAGACTTTGCTGCCAGTTAACTAACATGCCATGTGTCATGCACTCTCAATTCAAAAGAATAAATAAAAACAAAAACACACAAAAATATCTAGTTGGGAATTCATTTTAAAAGAAGTATTTGTGAGTGTAAACTGTATCAATCTGATTTCTGTAACTGACAGAACCAGCGTCATACATGATCTGAAAGACTGAATCCTAAGCTTTGGTTACAACATTCAAATAATGAGAGAAAAAACATAGAGGACTTAAAGACAGTTCATTTTATAATGAAGTGTTCACAAAGCTATTTTGTATAAATTAGGCAGCTTCATGCATTCTTACTGTTATGTAGAAGGCTTACATTGACTTCACATGATCTTTGTCTTAAGGAGAATGATGTATTTGAGCCATAATTATTCTAATTGTTTTAGAGTTTTCATCACATCTAATTGTATCCGATAAAATAACAGCCTTTGTGTTTTTAAAGATGTTCTATTGATGTAAATAACTTTTTCATCAAGTCTTAAATGAACACATTTGAAGTACTTATCAGGTTCATAGTTTTAGCAGGTTAATCTCTAGACACAGCTGGATGTGGTTTCACAAAATTGCGGGCGATCAAATCTAATTTATTCTTATCTATGACTCATGTCTTTGACAAAGTGCTTGAAAGGTTTGATTCAATCCTAAAAAAAAATCTAAGGTATAAATCACTTCTTAATAACAATATATTCATTGACGGGTTAGGGAAAGTAAAATGCAATGCTAACATACAGCCAGCAGGTGTCAGTAAAACATGAGACATATTTCCTGGATGTTCAGACAGATGAGGCTGTTTTGTAAATTAGACTTACAGTATCTTCCGTCTGCATCCTCTTAGGGAAGAAGAAGTACGGGATGGAGGTGAGAACCAGGCAGCCGGTGGCGATGAGCAGACCCATCCACCAGGCACCGACCCAACGGGGGTCTCCTTGTCTCAGCTCCTGTTCACCTCCTGCAGGAAACAGCAGTCATCAGATTACACTGTGAGCCCTCCTTTACAGCTTTAAACTGTCCATAAAATAACCTTTAAGACCCCCAAAATTACCTAAACCAGTTCTGTCCACGTCAACATAGAGCCGCAGCATCACTGAGCCCAGCAGGTAGCCGATGGCAGGCCCGAATACAGAAAATGCAAACAGGATGGCTGTGAATGAGAAAGCAGCAGTGAGGCAGAGTTTCTATTGTACCATAGCCTCCGTGCATGGGGCGCGCACACTAACCACTAGGCCACTGGAGCCCCTACTTACATTCATTTACAACAAAAATTCAATCATTGTTGGCTCATTGTTTTAAGTAGAAGTAGAAGTAGAAGTATAACTCCCTGCAAAGGATTTCCTTCACCCCTGGATGATACTTTCTTTTTGCAGGAAAGCAACGATTTTCTTTAAATTTAAGGAGCATGTTTTTTTATCTGATATTATTACTTGTTATTTCAAAAACCTGTTTCATGTACATGTTGACATTGTGCAGACAATGTGTATGGCCATTCAGCTAAAAATATATATTTCATTAGGAGATGAAATAACATGACAAACAGTGACATACAAAGTGACATACAAGACAAACAGGAGTAAGAATACAAAGATGGAAAGAACTAGGTTGAAGACTATAGAGTCGCACAACAGTTTAAGCAATATGATTCACACTAATTAATTGTTGTGTGATAGGAGATCCTCATAGGTTTTAGTGAAAAATATGGGTACTCCATTCCCCGCAAAGGATAATGAATTAGTTTTGTGTACGAAAATCATTAGTGAATTAAAGTTTATTTTAACTAAATTTGTTTTTCTCTTCTACCTCAGCAGACTGAACAACGTTTTACAAACTCAATACTGTGCGTTTAGAGTAAATTAAGGGTAGACCCAGCAGACTTCTTAATCCAAGGGGACAAAATATTGAAGATGTATATTAATATATAAATATTAAAAATGTTCACCCTGCAGAATCACCTCACCACCTCCACTCTGTGTCCACACAGGCTGTGCTCTTAATATCAACAAATCAATCTGCAGGTCATTCACCTATGTAAAGAGGGGAGTTTCCAGGTCCTGCAAAATCATCAATGTAGGATATCCAAACGGCTGTATGGGCACCGAGCCCACCCCGAAGAGCAGCTGAGCGCTGCCCATGAGAAGCCACAGGTTGTTCGTGTCCTTCAGGCGCCTGGTTTCATCTTGACCGCAGGACTCAGGGGCGCTAGAGTTCCCCTGCAAGTTACAGATGTCATGACGATCTGGATCACAGCAGGTGGGCAAACATGAACAGAGAGGGGAAGAAAAAGGGGGAGGCGTGTAAGTTAATAACATGCCAGTGGATGCAGATGTACAACTACTTTTAATTTCCTGAAGCTTCTCTGACTCTCAACTTAAACTCTGCTCAAGCCAAGGCACTCCGCCTGAAAGCAAAATAAAAGGAGGAAGAGGGGGGCTGTTATTTCCTCTGCTTTTGGTGAGTACACGAGATTGTTAACATTCTTCTGATTTATGTGAGAGTTCAATTTAAGAGCACAAAGTATGCTGACTAAATTCACCTCCACGGTGCAGAAAGCCAAACAGTCAATACTTTTTTTTTCTCCTGCTAAGTGCTCGAAGGATTTGACTAAAAGACGCAGCCATTTTTACACAAACCCAAAAGTAAAGTCTCATAAATTCTACATTCACAAGTCTCCCTGCTGAGACAGTGGTGACAGTGGAGACCTTGAAGTAGCGAGGGATTATAGAAAGTTGTTTTTTCTTACTGTGAAAAACAGAGTCGAATTCGTAAGGCTGTGACAGGAAGTGAGGTAATGTCAGGATCATGGCGCTGACAGCCATCAGAAGTCCTCCTACTCCAATGACTCGAGGACGGTGAACACGATTCCCAAAGTAGCTCACGAACACAATCAGCACACTGTTACTGACCTGAGGGACGGACACAAACACATGTTTCAGAGAGAGTCCTTTTTTTCAGTGGTACACTTTAAAACAATCCTTTCAAAGTTTCCTGTTGTTATCAAATAAAACCACCATGTCAGCAATGAGAGTTGGCACTAAAATGATTCAGGTTTTCGCATCCTAAAGGCACAGTTCAGAATGATTTTGTAAGTACTGACATTAGAGAAATTGTTTCCAGAGTTTAAAGCTGCATTAATTAGTTTTATTCAACTTTGGAACAGTGAAAACAAACTATGAACAAAAATCTGACATGCCATCATCACACTGTGTTAAAATGAAGTGGACTTAGCCTCTTCGCTTTAAAAGTGAAGCCAATGCAGAAGCCAAGTCAAGAGAACATGACTCAACATGATGTAGAGCTGAGCAATACGGACCACAAATTATATCTCTATATATTTTAGCTGAATGGCCATACACATTGTCTGCACAATGTCAACATGTACATGGAACTGTTTTTGAGATAATGAATAATAATATCAGATAAAAACAATGCTCCTTAAATAAAAAAAAAATTGTTGCTTTCCTGCAAAAAAAAAAAAAATGTTGTGCTGGCTTTCAATAAAAGTTTACTCAGAAGGAGAGAGAGGCGGAGCACGGTGAAGAGGGACAGTTAGAGAAGTAATAGGCGAACTGTCGCTTCAACAGAAGAATCATATTTAACGCAAAATAAACTATATAGATATAAACCATATTGTGGTAACCTATACTTTGTTTGAAAATAAATCGAAAAATCATAGAGCTCGATATACAGCCCAGCCCTAACATGATGTTCATTTGACTTTTCAGTTGAAATGATATTAGCAAACATTCAGAAAAATTCACATCAATTCACTGTTTTTCTGTTCTTGGGTTAAATTCCAGCTCAGTATTTATCGTTCCTGTTGCTCTGTTTTGCTCGTCAACAACTCATGGGAGAAATATCTGGCTCTTAAGCTGTGAATGCTCTATCATGGTCACAGAACAGTTGCCAACACTTTTATTTGATCCACAAATCATTTGATCCAATGTTAAATGTGCTTTAAATAGCCACACAGACACTTACAGGCTGTAGTATTTGGTCTCTGTTTTCATACAACAGTCAAATCAGATGTTGCCACTCAGACTGTAATTTAAACTGCTGCCAAATCTTATAAGGGTCTGAGGTACAAAATATACAAAAAGCCTAAACACAGAAAATGTCAACACAGAGAAAGAATCAGTGACTAGTGACTGTCCATGCATGCACCTGAAACTAAATGGAAACTATAATCTATGTGTTGCACCAAAAAAATCTGGCATCTTCCTCGACGCACGTACAGAACATTCTTGTATTATTCTTGACCCTTTGTTTCTGCGATAAAACGGTTTCAAAATACTCAAGACTGTTTTTGGTTGTCAGGAAGTGTGATTGTGATATGTTGCTTGTTCTCTAATCCTCCTTTGTCATGGATATCCTTGAAATAAATCCATCACTGTGAGGATGTGTTTTTGTTGGCTCCCACCTCGTTCAGAGAGGAAATTGTTCCTGAGGAGTAGCTGCTGAGGCCGTAGCGTCTCTCGATCGTGCTGATGGTGCTCTTGAAGTACGCGCTGTACAGCAACTGAGAGAACTGCAGGAGGCCGTGGCACAGGACGAACAGCTAAACAGGTGGACAAACAGAGAGTACAGAGGGCTTAATCTCCAGCACAGAAATATTGGCATGTGAAAAAATACAGATAGCAGGATCGAGAGGAAAAGTCTGCAAAAACAGATCCTAGTTATCATCAGAAAAACAAAGAAATGCTTGCTCACATCCCATGTACTTCTATTCATTTCAATCATTCATAAATATTGTAGTCAACCTTACCATGAAAAAAGCTTTTTAAATTGATGAATCAGCAGTTAAAATGGGTTTTAGTCATAAATTTCACATGTATTAAGTGTTGTTTTGAGCAGCTTGTGACATTTGGCTGCACACACACAGAAGTAGAAACCCGTTTCAAAGGTTAAAAAACATATTCTCCCTCCTGAGACACCTAAATCGTTCCAAGAAAAAGAGACCAATTCACAGGACCCTCACTGTCCTCTCAGAGGCCATGTGGCAGAAAAGTACCTGAGGATTTGTGTTCAATACATTTTCCAAGTGTTTCTCAGCACCGGCGACAAACTGAGCTGACGTTTAGTTCACTCTGTGGAGCGCACATTAAACTTTCAAGAGGAGCGATGATGTCAGAGCAGTGACTGCGGGGAGGAAAGAGGAAAAAGCAAACCGCTGCTTCACAACCACATGACTAAACTAACAAGTAGCAACACATCGGGCTTGGACTCGAACTGGATGTTGTAATGTTCTCACAACATTAAAAGATATGAAACAACATTTTCAAAAGGATTTCTCATTCTCATTTTTACAATGGAAAAAAAAGCTCTACTTAAAGCTCCACAAACCAATGCATGATGTGAAAATATACATGTTGGATAGTCGAATGACAGTAGAATTATTTCACTCAAAAATGAATTTCTCTTTTGGTAAAAGTTCTTACAAATGCACAAAGCATGAAAAGTATTAATTGTGTAGAATGACCTTTTAGAGAGTTCATTTTATATTTCATTTTAAGATCATCATTACTCATTAGTCAACGGTTTAGCAGAACTTTAGTGTTGCAGCCACTTGAGATGGATGACTTGATGCATCAAAGTCAAAGTCAAGTTTTACTTTGACAGAAATGTAACTTATAACTACAACCGAGAGATTAAGGAAGTGAGGTTAACAACAGTCTGAGATCAGACGACATCGTGAACCTTAAAGTCACAGGAGAAGCCCTGATTCAAATCCTGGATCCAGTTCAAGTCTGAAAGTTTGTGTTTCAACTCCTGATAAGCTTGTTGGCTGCATTTTACCAACTTTACCAACTTTTTTACATTTTAAATAGAGTTAAAGGAGCAATATGTAACTCTGACACCCAGCGTTTAAAATGGGTCCTGAAGTCCAAATTTAAAACATTGGAGAGAGCTGGGTCCCCCCGCCCCCTCCTCTCTAGAGTCGACGCACACAGGTGTGTTTAACCAGCTATGCAGCAATCTTCAAAGCTTTATGTGTTCTAATCTCTCTCCATTTTTCAAATGAATCTTCAATATTTAACCAGTTTTACCATGTTTCTGGTCGTGGAGTTTATTAGCAAAATGGAAAGCCGAGGCTTTTTCGGTCGGCTACAATCAGTTATATCTGAACCAGTTCACTTCCCCGCTTCCATCTCTGTAACACCTGTTGGTTTGCTGTTTGCCCGGCAAACCGAGGGGTGTCCCAGACGGTCTACCCTCTCTGTTCAAAACAAAAACAAACCATTCTGGACCGGAATTGAAACTTAGAAGGAGGACATAGTGGCTGCTGCGTTGTTGTCAGAGAAGCTAACATAGCACAAGCACTTGCATGTTTCCTTAAAGTCTGATGATACAGTAAGGTCCTTGTATGATTTAATTTAGTAGATATCTTTCATATTGCTCCTGTGAGGACCTTTCAGTTTGCATTGTTTTTGGTGCCCCCTGTGGAAGAAGCAGTATATTTTTGATCTCTGTGTGATTTTGTCCCAAACATGTGTAAGACGCATTCTGCAACAAAAACAGTCAAATATATCACTCGGAATAAATCTCTAAAACTAAATGTCAACAAAGACTGTTTCTGCAGCATGCAATGACTCACTCTGTCTGATAACTACCCTGCGGCGGTAGTTACACGCACTAAAAAGTAAACATGAAGAAATAATGATGATGTTGGTAGTAGGTCCTCAGTATTCATTTCAGTCGGTTTCCAATCCAGCTAAAATGTCTCACAGCAGCTTTAACAGTTTATTAGATTATAAACTCTAAGATTAAAGTAAAGTGAATTTAATGGTTAATAACTTCGGGAAATATTCTTATTTGCTTTCCTGTCAGGAAGTAGAAAAGATTTGTGTTCAAAATGAAAAAACTATAGCTGTAGGACATATGACAAGTGATACAAGCCGTGGTGAAGAGCAGGGTTCAGCAGGTCAACAATTCTACAATTTCATTTAGCAGACATTTTTGTCCAAGGCGATGTAAATCTGAGATTAAGTCAGGAATGGATGACTTGAATTGCCAAACTGTCATGTTGTGTTTTTAGGTGAACTAAAAATGCAGGAGCAGTCTCACATGTCACTGTTTATAACACGGGGCTTTCTTGACGGGCTGGTTAGGAAAAGGAAAAAAACAAAATTTAGGGCATTAATAAGGAAAAAAGCCACTTCTCCGCTCAACACTACAACACTGATATGTCAAGCTTTAGTAGGGATACATGCTTGACAAATATTAGGGATCAGTTTCCAAGCAAAATGTTGGACAAGACGACTTTTAGAATAATCACTAGTAGCCTGGTGAATGCAAATCTGTCACATGCAAAATATCTGACTCTTCAAAAGCTCAACTCATGTGTACCTATTAGACACTAACTTTTCAGATTGCTGCTCTGTGATGAGCAGGTTTAGATTTAAAAATTCGATCTTGTTTAATTGAAAACAGCTGTCTGCTGCTGCTGCTGCTGGAAACAAAGCTATCAAAGCCATGAGAGCGAAACCAAAACATTAAAGCTGCTGGCCAAAAACAACAATGAGCCAAAAGGCACTAATGAGCCACAGAGAAGTGCAGGGTTAAGTTTGACTTGACATACTCTTTTAAGTAAATGTGCCTCATTTCTTTTTGCCTTTGGTTTCAGGCTGTTTGTACGAAGGTTTTAGCAACCACACAATCAGGAGTATGATATGGCAAAGCAGTATTTCGTCATCTTTCCTAGGAATCGAGAGCACGGCTCCAAAGAAAAATAAAATACGTGATTCACTCATTTTGGAATCACTATCAGGCAGTTACAGAGCTTGGGGTGATAATGTGTGCATCTCTAGTTGATTGATGATTTTGCCTCTCTGAGTTTTCTTTTCAGATCCAGGGATGTGGAAAGATCAAAGTCACACTGGACGTGCTCCCAGAGATCTGGACGAGTCACTCTCCTGTTGTGAGGCGTTCACAGACACTCGTAAAACTCTCTGTACCAGATTTTATTTGCTTGGAGGGCCATGAGCGAAGGGTTGACGCTGAAGATGGGCGTTGAGATTAGGAGAGACTTTGCAAAGAAAACAGTGATAAATCAGAGCTTACTGTTTGTTTACCGGCTTCCAGGTCGGCTGAGGGAGAATACACTTTGCGTTCATCTCAGAACAGCTAATTCTCCTCTTAAAGCTTGGCTTTATGGGTTGTTAGCGCACACAATAGACACTTTGACACTGTTTCTAATACTTCATCCTCAGCTTGTATCAAACAGGGTCAATTATCTTAATAGTTTCGATATTTGCTGGCAGGCAAAGAGTTCCTTGTTTAGGATTTAAAGTTAAACTAAAAGTCAGAACTTCACAAGTGTTTCATTAAAATCCACTTTAGCATTTCACAAAGTTTATTATTTTTATTGCTGCAGATAATACTCGATGTAATTATCATGTTTCAGAGAAAAGTCTCTGGCTTTGGTTCTGGAAATACGTCATAATTTTAAGAACACCAAATCCAACCGAGTGCAGAATTTCACTTCAGGCCTGAGGAAAGACTTACTTTGCATTCCTCTGAAGCGACATTAAAATATTGATGGAGGACCTCATGCTGTGAGTCAACAGTATACCAGACTGTCAAGACACAAGATTCATTGTTAATCCAGACTTTTAATACAAGTGATTAAAGCAGGATTTTGAGTGTGCAGGGTTGGATTATGGGTATTTATCCAATTTGAACTCACTCAGCTTCGTCTGTCTGGACGGTTTTGTTCCAGCCTTCAACCCCGCTGCGAGGGGGAAGAATCGAGGGAAGTTCCCCTTTGAGTTTTAAACGCTTTTATTTCAGGGACACGTGCTGCTGCTACTCTATGTCGATGGATATCTATGGATGTATAAGAGGAAATGCTTTGTTTTCCTGATTCACAAATCCCTGGCCTTGCTGGAAAAATAAATGAAGCAAAAGGAAAAGGAGAATGTATGAAGTCTCTAAGGATGTTTGAAAGGAACTGAAAACAGAATAACTCCCTGCATTGTGAAACCTAAACAAGTGTGACTGCACAATAGCCTCACGATCAAAGGGCCATCATCTTCCGTTTAAAGGATAAATACAAATATTTAACCTTTAACCATGAGTAACACTTGTTTGTTTTTTTTAACTTCATTTTTCATACACATTAGGAAAATAAAGACATATAACATGTTAATTAGAGAGTTTTGGAGGTTTTGGGAAATGGATTTTGTTACTTTTCAGACAAACTAGGGATCGAGAACATGAACTCATTTGAAAAATGTTAATTGAGGTGAAGAATCTTGGAACCTGTCAGTTGGCGTTATAGCCTCGAGGAGTGACGGCCAGCTTTTCAGAGCTTCCAGTGTAGCCAGCGCTTAGCAACAAGGGATTTCCTGACAAGACTTACATTTTTGTGCATTAACTTTGTTAGCTCTACTTACATTTGAAGCAACTTAAAGCTGTACTTTTATGTAAATATGTATTCACAGACATTATTCAAACTAGATTGCTGTTAGTTGCTGCCAATGTGTTTCAGGATTGCATTGCAGTGGATTTTGTTCTATGCCCCAAGAAGCAACCAAAAGCAAAAATGAAGCTGATGCAGAAGTGCAACATCCTGCAGTTCATCGAGTGTCCACTTGAGGCAGGCTGCAGAAGCACCGGAAGTCACATACAGCACACACCCATTCAAAACAGCCTGTTGCAGAAGGCGACATGAATCTGATTAGCTCACGTCTGGATTGGCACACACTGCATGAGGGGTGTATCATACGATAAATCAGACGTTTTCACGATAAGGTGCATAGCGGTCCTGATTGTCAAGAGGCTTAAACCCCGCCTAAGCTCCAGCTCTCAGCCTGTCGTTAGGTTGACTGAAAGTTAAATTGAGACAGCATTTCCAGACTAGAATAAGAATTCCAAAATCTCGTCACAGGCCTGCAGATTTTGAACAAAAATGCAAAATTTGTGAGGCAAACAATCAAGTGAGAAGTTGGCTCCGTTTCCCATAAACTTCTTTTTGAGAGAAGCATAACCCTCCCCTGTTGGCCATTAGCCAGAATGCAGATTTAAGACTCCAACTTAGTTGTTATTAACGGTCTACAACTTTTACTTAATACAAAAAAAAAAGTGAGAAAAGTATTCATCTTCCCAAAATACTTTCTTCTTGCTTCAACTCTATAATGGAGCGACGAACAAGAGGCCAGGAGCTGATGTGCACTCAGGTGTGGAGAGAAGAGAGCTCAACATTTATCCTCCGACAGTTCAGGATGTAAACACTCTGTGCCCCTGGGCAGAAGCTTGGCTCGGATGTTGGCACAGATATCCTTTAAGAGAATTTGATGGTGTAACTCAGGTTGCAGATAAGGAGTAGCCCACAGCTTTGATAAGTTCAAAGCTGTTAGAAAAAAAAACACACAAACAGAATGTCCTGATGAAAGTGAGCAAATAAGAGAGCGGAGAGCTGAACAGCATGTACCGCTGTCAAGAAAAGACGGATGGACGTGATTGCTCCCTGTGAACCCATTGTTAGACGTCTGGCTCAGCAGTGATTTGGGATTTTGAAAAGCAAGTAATCCAGTTTTGTATGCTTTAGTTGATATATCTGGACAGGAGGCAAACAGAAATCAAGGGTTCTGGCATAAAAAAAGATCCTCCTCTGTTTCAATGTCTCACTCCTGACCTGCAGAAAAGGTTCACAGAGACATAACCAGCTGCTTGTATTCACAAACACCCCCCTTGTCTAAATACAGGTAGCTTTGAACTTCAGGTATTGTCATGCTGTGCAGGTTGGGTGAATGGTATCTGCCAGGTGGTTTCTATAGCCTCCACCCTCTCTATATTTGTTCATCTCCGCTTCAACCCAGGGGAGCTTTCAAGTAAAGACTTCAAATGATAAACAGAATAAGATTTGTAGTAACTGGACCCACCGCAGTCTGTGTGAGAATGCATAAAGTAAACATAGTCTTAAATAAACCTTCAGCTGGAGATTTAAAGGTTGCTCAAGCTCTCTCACTACTGCAAACGCACAGGAGGATACAGGTGTATTAGTCACACTTCACAGACACCAACGAAGAAGACATGTAATTTCTCGCTGAGTACTGCTGCCAGCTACGTGGAGTTGTGCCTCATTATTACTCACAGTCCTGGAACAAACTGTTTCTCTCACATCCCTGCCATACAGCGAAGTACAACTGCAGCTTCTGGAGCACAGTGAGGGGAACATTTCTTCCTCTACAGTCAGCGTTCACAGTGAGACTTTTACTATCAGAGCCAGAGGTGGAGAAAATAAACCAAACACAGAAAAACTGTCTCACTGATGATAGAAAAACAAACTTTCCCTTTATTGAAACCATCTGAAGCTAAATTAAACCTCAGGAGCTGTTATGATTTAATAACATACACTATGTCTTGATTTTGGATTATGTAATGTTTCTGGTTCAAGCTTTTTGATGTTAAAATCTGCTGTTTTAATTGGTCATGTGCAAATATAATTATATATATTATTTGGAGATTGACTTTTCGTCATGCAAAACCTTGTAATGGTTTCCTCCTGGGCAACGCTTTCAAGTATTGAAAGGTTTTCCTTTAATTTGTAAAATAAATCATAGAAAATAGTCAGCAGAAATATCATTATTGCATTATTAATTATCGTCACAGATAACTGGAAATATATTTTCTGTTGCTGAGGATAAACACTTTAAAATTACTTGAATTCTGAGATACTAAGGGTCATTTTTTCAGATGATTTGAAATCAAATCTCGTATTTTTCCAGCAGATAAAGAAAATATGTGTTAATCGCAACCTCAAAGTTATTCTATTTCACACCAATTGAACTTTTGATTGATTTAGGATTACGAGATAGTATGTTGGGCAAAAATTTGCATTTCAAAACAATAAATAACACATTTACATGTTAGCATATTTAAAACCATTGTAAACAATTTAATGCGCTACGAGGACAACGTAGACATAATTAATAACAAAGTTTGTGAAACATTTTTTAAATTGTTAAGATTGTGTTGTGTTAAGATTTTCAGGTAGCCTAATAATGTTTTTTTTTTTTTTTTACAATAAAGTTATATCCTATTCTAGTGGGGTTTTTTCATTTAAATATGACACTTTTTGTCATTAACATGCTGGTAAACATTTCTAACACTCGAGATCGTTTTCTTTCTTTTGAGCAATATGTAGTTTAAACATTTATTTTAAAGCTGATTTCTTGCTATGTTTATCTCTAAATTCTGCGTTAAAACGGGCAAAGTTTGGTACTTTTTTGAGGTAGCCACGAGGCACAAATTCCTGAACATAATGTCTGCTTGTTTGTGTAAGGTGAAGCTCCTCAGTAACACAGGAGACACAAGGTATGGACAGGTTTGTTTTATAGTAACCTCTGAACTATTATCAGATAACGTTATGTAATCTCCTAAAAATAAATGTAGCACAGTTATATAAACAATGAGGGAAAAGAGCTGCAGGTTAAAACAAGACATTGTATAGCCTCCTCTCCTCTCGTGCCTGATGCCTACCTTAATGCTGCAGCAGAGCGCGCGCGGTCTCTTCATGACTTTAATGTCCATGGGTTTAGCTCGTGCCCTCTCCAGGTCCTCTCGAGGTCTGAGTCAGAGGTTGTTCTTTCACTTTTTCCCCTCCGGTGAGCTGCTCTCCTTGTTTTATGACGGTCGGTGATGCAATTGGACTCAACCCACAGCCCCACGCGCAAATGTTTTGAAAGTTGTGAATTGGGAACAGAGAGTCCCGCGCTGATTGGCTGAGTCACACTCACCTGTAAGAGCGTGATGGAACGTGTTAATCAGCACATTAAATCTATGTGTTTGTAATGTGTTGTTAATGTGATTTGAGTTGTATTTCTTGTTTTATAGTATAAAGAATGATGATAATAAAAAATGATCTGTAGGGGAAAATGCAGGAAACATTATAATTATTGTTTTTTGGATATAAAAAGGTGTACCTTCCTCTCCCTGACGCTTCTCTGTGTCCTGCTGCTGCAGCTCAGACTGCCTCTTGCTTCATTAGTTTTGGTATGTGGTACACTGAGCTGTTTCCCCTCGAGCTAATGAGTGGTGGGCCCACAGTGACAGAAAGGACAGATAATGAATGAACTCTGAAAATAACCAACAGAGGAGTATAGAGTTTATGTAGCTCTTTAAAGGCTACTATGATACAACAATACGTGTTTAACATAGGGTAAAACTTATAATGGAAAGTGAAAAAAAAGCTAAAATACAGTGAAACATTGTTAACTTTTAAAGGATAGATAGATGGAAAGATAGTTTTGTTTCTTTGGTAATGTTTCACATTCCAATAAATCCTCATTTGAATAGGTAGGTAGTATGTAAAGTTAGAATAGAAAGATAGAAAGATATATATATATATACACAGAGAGAGAGAGAGAGAGAGAGAGAGATTTTAGAGATTTTATTTTTTTATTATCCACTGATGTGCCAAAAGGAAAAGGAAATTCTTAGATAAATATTATTTATGGGTATGAGTTCAGGGGTTGCACTGTAATGATTGTCAGCTTGGTCTCCTAAGTCCAGAAGTGTGATAATGAACTGCTTATTACATGTCGGGTTCATCTAAATGGTTACGGAGCATTAATGTCTAAAGATGCGATTAAAGAGTTTGTCACGTTCACTAAAACCCATTAACAAATATAAAAAGCAGAAGAAGTCAAGAAGGTAAGGGTGGAAGGAATCATAACTTCAATCACCAACTCTGACATGTATACTTCTTATAAACTTCTGAAGTCTTGTATTAAATGATCAGGGATGTTTTTGTTTTGTTGGCCGAGCCAAAGAGATTCTGTTTCTTGTTCTGAAACAGTTTGACTTGTCTGTAGCCTTCAATATGTCTTTTTTAAGGTTTATTTTGGGGCTTTTTATTACTTTATTTAGAGATAGGACGGTGGATAGAGTCATAAATCAGGGAGAGAGAGAACAGGGAATGACATTGGGGAAGGAGCCACAAGTCGGATTCAAACCCGGGCCACCCGCTTTGAGGTCTATAGCCCCAGGACATGGGGCTTGCCATTAACCAATATGTGTCCCAGCATTCAATATGTCTGAATAAATTTAAAAACATTGGTATCTGACTATTTTACATTACTCATGCTACCTTAAGTCAAGGCCAGAAATGTCTTGCAGGAATCTTCAAAAATTCAACGGAAAATGAATCATGTGAAATTAGTGATTATGAAACTTAAGCTTATGAACTATAAATGTGTACTTGTCTTTCTTCTGACTGCTGTTTAAAGAGATCCCAAACTCTCTGCATGATGATTATAACAGCTCTGATAAAAAAACTGTGCATCTGATTGATGTCTTGCGCAACTGTAACCGTCATATAATAATAATGTTTTTCACAGAATGAATAACCTTCAATTTATGACCAACTCATGGGTCGAATAAACAAGGGTTGATCTTTGATAGGACAACATTTACATTCACGAGTGTGTGTCCAGCAATAGTCCAATGGCATTATGATTCAACCAATCAAAGGTGAGAACCACAGGTGTTCCTTCAGAGTTATATCTCTATCTCTGAGTAAACAAAAATAAGACAAAGAAGAAAATGTACAAGAGGAAACCAGAAGGCAGAACCAAAGGTGAACCATAATAAGGTGAATCCAGGCTTAAATGTCACAAAGAGCACTTCTTTTCAACAAGTTTAAATAAGTCTCAGAGCTCCTCAGAACATGTCTGTGAAGTTTTCTTGTCATAAATACCTCTCTGATCCTGTATTTGATCATGCCTATAAACCCCTCTATTTCAGCCCTGCTCAGAACAGGTTGTTTTTCTGTGTCTGTACCTTTAAATACAAATGAGCTGTGTCTGACCACGCCCCTCTGGAAGGGTTTGGATGGCTCAAGCTTTCTCGCTCCATGCCCTGTTGTTTATGGTGAGAATGCAGACTCAGAGGGCAGAACAAACACCTAGCTGTGGGAGTGTCACCCACCTGGGGGAGGGGTTACTGCCCTTTGTGATGTCATAAAGGATGGACTTTTCTCATAATTGGGGTGTCTGTAGACCGACTAGGGACGCATATTAGTGTTAAAGAACCATGGTTGGGGTGCTGGCGCAGTGGTTAGTGTGTGCGCCCCATGTATGAATGTCATTCCCCACTCGCTCGCTCCATGATTTCCGGCTATCCACTGTCCTATCTCTCAAATAAAGGCACAAAAAGCCCACAAAAAAATATTTAAAAAAAGAAAACCATGGTTAAGCATTTTTCCTTTTTACCTTTGAAAGTCTACAGGAGAAAATGAAACAAACTTGTTTTATTCTTTGTGTTGCTTAACCTGTGAGTATGTAGGATTCTGATGCAAGAAAGAGTTTACCGAAAGATCTGCATTCATTCTGAAAAAACCCACAACAGGCCTGAAATCACCCAAAACCATGAAGATATTACTTCACAAATTTGTCCCAATAACTCAGCAAACCATTCAGTATTGTGACAGGAAAGTCTGGAAGTAACAATTTCCACTTACTCAACGTGTGTTGTGGCTGCATTGCATTAGGGTCTTTGATTGTGCAGCTGGTGAGGAAATTGTTGAACAATTAGCTCCTTGACGCTGACAAACTGAAACCTGAAAATTGATGTTTAAAGGTGTCATCTTACACTGCTGCAGCTGTGTGGAAATATGTCAACATGGCTTCAGATCTCTGCGGTTTACCTGCATGGCACCATCAGCAAAGTAGCAAAACCAAATGTGGAATGACACTGAAACACCATGAAACATTATGTAATAAATTAAATAATATCCTAGTGAAGAATTGTTGCAGTGGTACTCGTTCACTTTGACATCTGTGCCAACAGAAAATAAATAAAAGCCTTTGAAGTGAATCGTTTTGTGTTCATTTAAACAAAGGATTGAATTTTCTCTGTACAGTCAAATATGTTTGAAGCAGATTTTTTTCCCTCCAGCTTCCTGCATCAGCAAAATGTAATGCCTGCCACAAACATAATTGAATGCATATCAGGAGAAGAGATTTTGATGCAAGGGATTTTCAGGATTCTGCACAAATTAGATTTGACATAACTTTCCATTACAACATTGTGAAAAAGCGCGGCGTCCATGTGACAGCAACTTCAGCCTAAAGCAAGAGAGGCAAAACAAAAATGATCCTCAGATGAAACAAAAAAATGAAAAGCTCATAACAATGTTCTTGTATTACGTACACAGGGATCGTATTTTGTAATACAGATACTTGAGTGTTAATTGTTTCAACAAAGACTGAACTCATGTTGTTTTCTTCCATTACAGGAGGATGATTTGCTCCAACAGCCGAGTCCTCGGGTTTGAAGCTCTGCAGGCTTCAGCATAAACACAGATTTAAGGCAAAACATTTAGCTCCAACTGTGGCTGGTAAGATGATTGTGGTTTAACGTTTTCTACCTAAAACAATGAGAAAAGCTATTGTTTTCAGGTTTGTTTTTCATACTATGACTTCTTTTTCAGGGCGGCTGTAGTTCAGCAGTAGTCGGGTGTCTCTCAACCAGAAGGCGAGCAAGACACTGCAGTTGCTCCCACTGCTTTATCAGCGGTTTATAAATGTGTATGAATGGATTAACTAATACTCCATTTTCTTCTAAATGACTTACAGGTACAAAAAGATTGAGAAAGTAAATATCTTCTACTGGTAGATGTACAGGGGCAGTAGTTGCTGCAATGTAATCCATCCATTATCAATACCACTTTTTCCCATTTGGGGTCGCAAGGGGCTGGAGCCAATCCCAGCTGCCATTGGGCTAGAGGTGGGGGTACACCCTGGACTGGTCGCCAGTCAATCACAGGGCTAACACATACAGTCAGTCAACCAGCCACGCTCACATTCACACCTAGAAAATGAGTTGCAATGTAAGCCTAGAGGGGAAATTAGCCTGATAGCAGCTTATCTACAAAATATACTTGTTTTCACTCACTGGCTCAGATTGTTTTTCAAAGCCTCTGACATCATTATAGGTAGATCTCCACATAAAAAGACGTATGTGTAAGGGTAATTATGTTCTTTATTAAACCAGAAACAGCTGCTGAATTATTGCCCGTATAGCCATCAGACTCCATTGGTTCTGCGAGTCATTTTGGGTTACATAAATATTGTGATGAATCAAAACTAACCATTTTAAAACAAAAAAAGTCAAACTATAACACAGACTGATAAGAGGCAGCAGTAGACTAGTATTTTAAATAACCTTGAAGGTTAAAATCACTGTTTCTGTCAATGGAGTTTGGTTGCTTTGAAGAGAGCGTTGCCAAAGCTTCTTCATGTCCTCAAAGAAAGCAATCAACCACAACGGAATAGGGTCTCTCTATCATTTTTGGAAAGTTGCTAGAGACCTGAAATAAAATGTGAAACCTGTAGGTGGGAATGAGAAGCACTTTCATTAAAGTAAAACTTTGATCGAGGGTTGTTGCCTGCAACGGTAATATTCTAGCTTTTACAAGCGGTCTTATGGTTGTCAAGTGAAGCAATCTTCTAGAGCAACTAAAAAAACTGGTTTACCTGTCTGTCATTTGGTCCCCAGAATATGCACAAAAAAATGCACACAAAAAGTGTCCAGGTTTGAAAATACAGGAGTTCCTTCTGGCTGTAAGAAAAACAAAAAAAGAAGACATTCCATATTTAAAAGATCCCATTTAATTTGTGGATATGAATTGGGGGAGCACTTTACAACCTTAATTGGACATGCAATGACCATAAAGACGCATCACAAAGATGTTAAAGGTGTGAGAATAAGATTGGACTGAGCTGGAAGGAAGTTTTTGTATGTTCAGTGATTATTGGTTCACTGATCGCTCATAAAAATCAGTCAAGAAATCCTTTCAAGGGCCGTGTTCTGACGCAGAACAATCGAGCTTGTAAAATAAAAACAATGATCATTCAGTTTGGCGTGTGTGAGAGTGGATATAAAAAATGAACATTAAAAGAAGGTGTTGATAGTCCAATAATAGTGTCCAAAATTCACTCTGGATGTTTGTACAAGAAGCTTCGTGTTGCTGGTTCTGTTCAGGCTGTGGCGTCCTTCAGTCCAATCCACGGACGATAAAAAAAACTGATGTAACATCGTATTTGAAAAGAAAGTACCGAGTGATAAAGTTTCAGAATGTATCCAAATGAATCCGATCTCTTGTCGTACCAAACTCGAGCTCTCCATAGCAGAGTGAAGAAGTGTGTTTGGAAGTCTGCTTACATCTTTAAAGAAGCCTTAAATCTAAGTTTGGTACCTTTTATCTTTCTGCTGCAGGGTTACTGTCGTCCAAAAGACGTCTACAACTTACACTGTTCACTAAGTTACACAACTGTAGAAAATACTGTCTGTAAAACCAGGTAGTGAGGCCGACATTGTCCTTTAAAAGAAGTGTACAATGGCACATAAATGTCAGTAAATGCTGATGTGCTGTACAGATGTGGACATCGTTTCTGGCTTTCGAAGCATATGAAACAATATTCAACAAGGAGTCCTTTTACATTGCTATGCTGTAAAAAGGTAATTCAACTATATAAAAACTCAAAAAGTACTGTACAAAATGAAATAATCAGCTTAAGTCTCAGCTCTTTCATCGGATAAGGCACATTTTCATACATGTATTCCTTATGAATAGTGTCCACCAGCTAGAAGTGTTTCTGTTCTTGATTTCAGACGTAAGCGCCCAACGCTGCATGAAACTCTGTGAGACACTGAACAAGCTGCTGAAACTTTGGCCTCTCCTCCGGGTCCAGGGCCCAGCAACAAGCCATCACTGCAAACCTGCAACACAGAAGCAAGAATAACGGATCAAATCAAGGCCAAAGATTGGGACGGGTTTCTGGGTACAGACAGGATGCAGAGGTAGAAAGACGAAAAGATCTTTAAAAAATAAAAAATAAAAATGCTGGTGTCAAACTCCGGGCATTGCACTTACATGTTGAACGTACAACTACAGTGTTGTATTGTCCTGAAACAGGAGCTGCCTGTACAGCACTGATATACATGAGGGAGATATAATCAGTTCATGCCCTTAAATGTTTTATTAAGCAACCTCTAATATTTTGGAAAAGGAAGGCGTCCCCTCACCACCTATTGAATTTAGAAGGAAAACATTTGTTCAGTTATTTTCACACATTTCAGGTACTTGTTCCTCCAGTTGTTTGGGCATATTTAACAATAGCAACCCGTGGTACTCAGAGGATTCAGGTAGGAAAAACAAGACATAAAAGTGGTTGAGAGGGGATGTGGCATCAGTGTATCATGACAACATAGCCTCAAACTTTTTCAGAATTATACAAACATTCAAGCCATTAAGTTTGATCATCAGATGCATACCAACATGTCGTCTCCATCCCTTAGTGCTCTAGTTCTAAGATCCAACACAAGTCAGGAAAGCATCACTAAATCACTCTCCAAAACAATATTCCCAGTACCGGTTAACAGAAACAGCTCTGGTAAGAGGTCAGAGGTCGTTCTTTCATACATATACTAAAATCTGGAAAGAGGTCCCACATCATATCAGGACAACAACCTCAGTGATACATTTCAAGCAGCCATATTAACACCACCTGATGAATGGACAAACCTGTGATCACTGACTGATTTCAGTTATTCTGAATTCAAGATTTGTTGAATGATCAATAAATGATGCTGAGCAGTAAAAAGCAGCAAGGTCAGAATGCAAAGCTTAAGGTTTTTGCAAATGGAGCCCACATGGATTCAGTAGATGATGCAGAAAATGGACTGGTGCAGAGTAGACACGACACAAATCCAATTCTTCGAACTATGCACCGCCCAGCTCTACTGCTCACTCGTCTTGAATTCAGGAGTCTTGTCAATTTAACTTGCACTAAGTAAGGTCTGTTTTACAAACTGCTTTCTTTGTTTGGATGATTTTGACATAATGAGGGTATAAAAGCTGTTTAAGAAGTGGCATCGCCAGCCTGGAGCATGCTACCAGCTATCCGAGCATGCTTTGCAAATAGCTTGCTGCGCAGACCCGGCATGCGACGCCACTTCTTAATCCACCCATACAAAGAAACAGTGTCATACTGTTTATTAAATAACCTTATTTAGTGCAGGTTTTATTGACAAGACTCCACAGCTCAAGTGAACAGTGGAGCTGGTTGGTGCGGGGCGAGGGGAATTGGATTTGTGCAGTGTGTGTCTTCCAGTCTTCCTCCTTATTTTATTCCCTTTTTGCTTCAAGTATAACTCAGAGCACTGATGATCTGTGTCAAATGATGCACCAAACATGACATTTTATTGGACTGCGTGCACTGCCAGTTACAGAAATCCTTAGTGGTAAAGAGAGTTGATGGCCATTGTCATCACTCTCATTCTCTTACTGTGTCAAACATGCTTCACAGAACACCCCTCTTCTCTGAGCAGGAAAACCCTGTTTTTATTTGTATCCCTTCATGTCAAGGTGACAGCCCCGTTGCAAACTAGATATCGAGGAAATGGCCTGTGAATAATAAAGCTGTGGTTGGAGAAAGCCTCTCCTTTTTCTCCTCCACAGTTTCATGACGTCAACCAGCTTCACGTCAACAAATGCTGCTAACGAATGAACAGTTAGTACTCCCACATTGCACAACCAGTGTGTCGTCAACAGTGAACTTTATTTGTTGAAATGTTGGCAGAGGGTAAACTTAAAATGTATACTTCCCTGCAGATGTCTGTAACCTACGTACTGTCTTTCTTTGCTTATGACAGGACAAGGAAAAGAGCAAAAGACAAACATGGCAAACATGTCCTAAGACACTTTGATCAAGTCCGTACTTGCCAGCTGTCTGCAGCTGTGAAGGCCAGCTGGTAACCTCGTCAATTATTTTTATTATCATGTTCGCAAACAAGTGGTACAAAAGTAACTGACACTTAGTCCAACATTTGACAAAGAGAGACGCCTCTAGAGCTTCGAGACCAGTCTAGCCTCCAGAGACTTTAACTCAGATGAAGATTTAGAAGTTATTTGTTACTCCTTAAGAAATGTGAAATACAGTAATGTACTTCTGTTTTAGGGAAAGGTGCATTGCTTAGCACTTAAAGTTCATTTATGTGGCATCCAGATATCTGCTTGTAAGAAAACCAGAACTAGACACTGGCTACATTCAGACTCCCCCCCACCCCCCCACCCCCCCACCCCCAACCATCCTCTGAATAAAGAATTGTGAAATAAACATATTTTGCATTTGTTTTCATGATGCTGGTGTCACGCTGTTTTTCAACCTTTAATAATCCTTGAGCCTTGAATCCTTTTCTAACATCTTAACATTTCTTATTCTTTTTAGTTGCTGGTTTACAATCAGAATATGCAGTCGGTGTTAGTGTGTCTGTGTGCTGGTAAAGGACATACAGTTCATCTGGACAGTTGATTGGCTGTGCTATTCGGTACCCATCCTTCAGGTAGGCTGACATCTCAAAGGGGTCGATGTCGACGTACGGGGTCTGACCCAGAGTCATCAGCTCCCACAGCGTCACTCCAAAGGCCCACTGTAAATAAACACAACATGTGATCAACACTGAAGGCAGCACTGAGCATTTATTTACAACATTTCAGAACATTTTAAACAAAACCTGTTGTCTTTATGTGTTTTCATCGAACTGAATAAACAAGACAAACATTTCTATGCCCGGGCCGGGGAAAGCCAGTAGTGCCCTCTTGCATTAAAATACAAAATGTTCCACAGGAACAATGCAAGGAAATTATGTTGATAAATTTAAACTGAATATGAATCACTGCTGCAAGTTTTTGTTGAGAGAGTGAGTAAACAGTCGCGGGGGGGCGTCATGTTTCTGAGAGGGTTCAAGCTCCCATGTCAGCGAGGGTCCACCCTGAGTGTGTTGTAGCGCTGACCCTTCAGTCTGAACCCAAAGGAGGAAACGGGGAAAAGAAACATTTCCTTATTTGTGTGTTCAAGTGATACTCTGATTAATAACCTCAATCTAAGGTCACTGTAGATGTTGACCTCGCAAATCATTCTCCTTCTTATCTAAAATAAAGCTGGGCCGCTCCTGCTGACCTGACTGTGACATACAAACACAGTTGAACATATTATCCCTGCAGAAAAAGCAGGTTTCTGCAGGGATAATATGTAATAATGTATCGCATGTATGCGCCAATATCACAAGATTTATTCACCAGTCAAAAAGCATTTCATTTGAGTTTCATTTTATTAAACTAGCAGTTATCTTTCCCCAGCAGAGTGTGCTTTATGGATTACAACAAGCATCATCACTCTCCAGAGTGTCAAGCATTGATGCACGTCCATGTGCAGTTAGTTTCCATTTGAGTGACCATCTTGTCTAAGCTATATATCTTTTCCACAAGTGTTTGATAACTGCATTTGAGGGTTCAATGCAATAAATATGTAAATTTATATCGCTCTGTCTCTACAGATTTCATAGATCAAAGAAAGATATCGGCTGATGTATCGGATTTGCTTTCTCCCCACTATCGATATCGGTATCGGCCCCAAAATATCGGTCGGACCCTAGTTCTTTCCTTACTGCAGTAATTTCTTTCAAATGCATCACATCCCTAAAACCTGAACAACATAAGCTAAAATCACATGCAAGTCAAACAACCAGTAAGAATGTCTGTTTGACATTTGCAATGCTCTAATAAATATGAGCATCGATAAAGAAGAATCAGGCAAATTTGTCATCAAATATTTTCTAAATGAAAACATAAACCTGTTACTTCATAGGTTTCTGAGGTCTTTTATTGATGAGCAGACTGAAAATGTGTTGTAATAGTTTCATCTGGATTAAAGGTACACTGCTGACACTGATATTCATTCCAAACTGGATCTTATTACTTGGAGCCACTACAAATATTTTATAGCTCTTAGATTTGTGGAACCGTCAAGTTTATGTTGTCTGTGTTTGCGTACACAGGACATGGTGATGGAAGGGCTTTCCTGAAGACAAAGCCCCCACATCACACCAGTAAAGGTCCTCATCCTCTCAATCAATATCTACAGGCATCAAATGTGTTTATTAACTTCCAAAAATGTGTGAATCATTGAAGTGCGTAACACATAACCCACGTCATGATGCCACACAGTTCAAGGTAATTGTCTGGACTTCCCCTAAAGTGAAGTGAGCTGGTAATGCCAGCACTCTGTTTTACTGTAAGTGCAGCGAGGGCACTGACTGCCATGAAACAGCGTGAGAGGAATGTGGAGGGGTGGGGAGAGTCTGGCTGGTGTCTCTAAGGGGCTGTTGGGCCTCCCGACTGTCTGCCGCGCCTGCCCTGCTATCCTGGGACAGGAAAGAGGGAAGAGCTGGAGACGGACACATGGTGCTAAACGCTGTACCTCCTTTCCTTCTGACACCATGACAAAGAGGATAAAAATGGTTCTGACACAATAAGGGTCATTTCCTTCATCACCTATTCTGTATTATATCCCTTTTTTTAAGGAAACCATTAGTTACAAGGAAAGGCTAATTTAAGGTTTGCGTTGATCAACTGCAAGACATTTAAAAACCACATGTGGATGTGCAGACCCCACAGGAGTGAAAACCTCAGCGGCAAATTAAGCCAAAGTGCTGTTGCCAAAAGCTGGGGTTCCTCAAATGGCGACTTAGTGCTGGTTACAAAACTGAGTCCCTCACCATAGACCCGGTGTTAAGATTTCCTACTTTGCTGAAGAAATAAACGTGTTTACTTGTACGGAAAATGCTGATGGTTTCTTGGCTAATTTTGCTATTTGAGAAAGCTTTGCAAAGTTTTTTTCTTATTCAGTACAATTGTGCGTACTAAATCAAACCTTACGCATGGAACTGATGCAGACATTTCTGCAGGTTTGGTGCCTTTTGAAGTTGTTCTCATATAAATACAGAATATATCGAATTAAATATAATAATGCGAAAATGGATGCCTTGTACACACACATTATCTTTCAAGCTTAAATATAATAAAATGTATTGCTGTGCAGTTAACTACCGACAAACGTAGTGTAAGCATTTTTTTTTTATTGTGAAATTCTTACATTAAATTACTGAAAGGATGGAAGGTGTTGTTTCCGAGTTCATCATAGCTGGCTTGTTAGCTTGTTCCTTGATTGTCATACAAATATTTATTTGTGATGGACCTTGCATGGTGAAGACTATTGTTGTCGATGCCTTGTGCAATAACACCTGACTATAGGCATGAGAAGCTAAGTTGAGGATTTCTGTTTGTTAGTTTTATATCAGCCATTGACATTCCTACCAAGATGTGAGCAAACAGTGAATTTTCTAAGGGGCAAGGGTCTCTTTGCTTTTTTCATTCAAATAACTTTGGTCAGCTACCACCACAAATAGAATCTGATTCTGTGTGACTAGTTGTTATCTAGTTAGCCAGCAACATCACTTAGACTTTGGCATTTACAGTATATCTCTGATAAATTAGCTTCTGCTAAACCCTCATTCCTCTCCAGTTCCAACCTCTGGAGGAATTCGGTCACTTCAGACTTCTAAAAACCAACATGGCGATGACAAAAATGCTGAACTGGGTGAAGTCACAGTTGTGAAATTAAAGTTTTGTACGCAGTCGATGTTCTTACCACGTCACTGGCACTCGAGAAGTCGTTGTTGAGCAAGCTTTCAAGAGCCATCCAGCGGACGGGTCGATTCTCATTATCCCCCAAACAGTGGTAATCCATAGGAAATAGGTCCCGGGCAAGGGCGTTGTCAGTGATCTTTACTTGCATGTTGTCATCAATGCTGTCAAAGGGAAGGCGGGAGGGAGGACAACAGAGAGTAGTTGGCGTCTTTATCTTAGAGTAATTAAATACCAAACAAAATCACCTGAAGGCAACACGGAAGAACTGAGGATGAATGACGTTAGCTTCGAGGCGGGTCAGGGACACTTACACACAGTTCCTGGCAGCGAGGTCTTTGTGGATGACCTCTCTGCGAGCCAGGTAGCTCATTCCACATGCAATCTGTATGGCCATGTAAACCAAGTCCTGTTGAGAAATCGCCTGAGAGGAAATGAGGGAGAGAGAAAGTAAGACAATGTGCACTTAAGGACCTGACAGAGGAAAAACACAAAAATGGAAAAAGGGAGGGAGTGTGGACAGAAAGCAAAGCTGACGTGACTTTATTGAAGTGAAATTGGCCTTCTGTGTCAAATTGTTCTTATTTCCTTTGAGCTGGGACAATGTCAACTATGGGTCAAATATGGGAGTTACATTCACAGAGACTATTTCAGTCTTTACATGAAGGTGAAAGGCAAGTCAACTGGAAAATAACACTTGTTTGGTGCCGCTTTCCAAAAGAAGCTGGTTATATAATCATCATAACGTTAATAATGATGGAAAGTTACAACACTCCAGGTTTGGTAATGTCAGTCTTTTGGTTCTCTGTTTGGATGTTCAGGCCTTTTTGTGAAACATCACTAACCAATTGGTGTATTGCGATGACTTTAGTACAAAGATCCATTGAGCAATAAAGGTTAGGATGTTGGCAACACTGTGCAGACATTTGTGGTTTCACATGAAATGTTGCATAGAATTGGGAACAGACAAACTTATTTTCTGCAAGATGAAGCGTTTTAATTTTAGTTTCCTCTGTTATCCTGTAGCATCTTAATATAGTTAGATTTTATGAGCACACAATTAGATAGGTAAGCACACACAACTTAAAAAAGTTACTTCAGAGTGTGATTGTAAACATGGTAAGCAGTACAGATCCTCAACTTGGTCATTAGGAGCATGTTTACATGCTGGCATTAATATCTGGGTTATAGCACCATAGTGCCTACAACAGCTTCAAAGAGCCAACATGGCAGTAGACTGTTGAGCTGAATTTACCTTTTGTAGTAAGAATCGAAAATATTAGTTGAGAAAATTCCCACGTACACCCCCACCAGTTGGGACAACACATTGGGAAATCGCAGAAACCTACCCACTTATCTTGTCTTGTGTATGTTATATTATGCGAAAGCATAGTGGACAAAGTTTAATGTTGGGAAAGTTGATATTTTACACATGTATAGCATATTCATTTTTTGATTAAATTTAACTTGTAATATGGTTTTAGGTTGTAAATGTTAGTTGCTGTCCAGGCTGCTCCAGATTACTAGTGAGCACAAAAACACAAAACATATTTTCTGTAGAGTCCAAGTGGTTTCCTCTCTGAATCTGGAATTCAGTCTTAGACAAACATCCCAACAAAGCATTAAATGTAAATTACATTTATCCATCAGTGCACTACGGTCACTTTATTTATCTCATTTTTACCGTTACAGTTATATTGTATATATTAGTTCTGTTGTTCCATTATTCACCATGCACCTTAATAACTTATCATTGAGTATTTGCCTACTTGCACATAGCTCTGTATATATATATTTATTTCTCGTTTACTGCACATAGTTCTGTTTACATCTGTTAGTCTGATCACTGTCCACTTATATCTACTATTTTATAATTTGTACTTTTAAGTTAAGTTTAAGCTTTAAGTTGTATTTAAATTGACACTTTATATTTAGGTTAAAATGTTTCGTTTACTTGCACTGTTGTTAATTTACTGCTGTGTGCCTTTGAATTGCCCCCCGGGGACAAATAAAGTTTTTTGAATTTAATTGAATTACAGTATAAATCTTACAGAGAAACTTGAATCAAACTTGTAGAAGAAGAATTAACTTGTATGGCATGCTTCCCTTTCTTAGAAGGTTGGAGCGAGAGTGTGTCTTTAAACACAGTTGTTTGTTTTGTGCTCGGAGCCCCTGAAGGACTTGAAGACAATGGTTCAGACAGCAGGTGTGTCTGAGAAAAGTCTGCACACTGAGCAAAGAAAAGACCCCTGACTGGTAACAAAGTGAGACAGCTCCAGTAGTGTACACAAACATTCTGTGTTGCTAAAAAGACTGCTTTTTCTTCTTACTGCATCAAATGTAAATGTGTATTTTCCCTCTGAACTCATAAGCAGAACAGGCCCTGGCTCGGACACAAATGGGAAAATTTAGGGTTGTTCAATTGTACTTGACAGTGGACAGTGTGATAGATCCTCAAGTAATCGATCCCAGTACCCAGGAAAAGCAAGCCTTGGCAATCAATGAACACAGATAAGAACATTTTACAGTAATCACCTCTGCGACTGATACACATTGGCCCTCACTTATCAATCTGGTGTAGAAACCAGCGCAGATTTGGGTGTAGAAATCATCGTACGACAGAGTCCACGTAGGACCTATGAAACGTGCGTATCTGGCTGATCACGGCGTGCCGAACTTTGCGTGGAAATGACCGTACACCCATTTTTCTGCCGTACGTACGTTTGATAAGTGAGGGCCAATGGGTGTATCAGGTGGACGACAGATCCATCAGGTTCTCTGTTTCCATCATGCTCACTAACTTTAACAAGTGGTTCTTAGTGGAATTATGACAACTGTGGAAAAGGTCAAGTCCAAACCCTGTTTGTTCTACATTCAAAACCAGATGTTCACTTTCAGTCAACACTGCAGTATTGTGCTTTCCTCAGAGTGCAATCTTCCCCGTACTGATGCATTTATGATTTATAGCCCAATGTTTATTGCACCAGCACAATTTAATGACTAAGTCCTTGTCTTGTCCGACTGCCAGACTACATAATGAGATTGCTGTGAACGTAGGTGCTGATGCGTAAACCTGAAACTTTACAAAGCAGGTTTGATTCATGTGGACAGGCTGCAAGCTTCGTCTTGTGTTCGCTACATCTGTATTTTGGGCTTGATTGATTGGTTGGATCTGTGATGTGGCTCTGCCAAGCGCATCAAAGACTCCCTGAGGTTAACCTGTACAAAAGGCTGATTGTCTTTACATAGCGAATCTCTGCCTTGAGCATCGGCTTCAAGACTATATCAACAGTCTTTGTACTAAAAGTGTAAACAGGAGTTACTGGTAGGTGTTTTGTGGTGTTGATTGCTGCAAACACACAAAACGTTCTTTCAGGCTCAGATGGAATCTGACTTCTCTTCCAATTTGGGGGATTTATTTTAATAACCTACTAAATGTCTCAATACAATTCCACACATAGCTTGCACTGAGGCTTTTATCTTAATGGTTTAATAAGTGACTCCTGTGTCTAGCTGCCAAGTTGAAGCCTCACCTGTGGGTTGTTAGCCTCAGCTAGCTTGCACTGTCGCAGGAACAGCTTGAGATTCCCCCAAGCCATGAAGGGCAAAAGCACCATGGGCTTCTCCCCCTCTTCTGTGCACACATGACTTATAGGCAACAGGTTTCTGCGGGAACAGGAACAGTGTGTTACACAACATCTATACAGTTAATGTACATTGTGTTGAAAGTTGATGAATCTACATGCATATAGGATTCACCTCAAGACCATTTCCAAACGGCAAAAGAGGAAGTCAAAACATTTCTTTTCAAATTGCTGACTTCAAAAATAAGAAAGGGGAAGATGTGGGCAACCATGACGACAACTTTGTATGTAGAGAGAGTACACTGGAAGTCCAATTTTCTATAAATGATCTCCTGCACTTTTGCACCTTTTTTCTCAAACTAACTTCAACATACTGCACACAGAGTCAATACTGAAACCAACTGTTTCACAGATGTAGGATAAAAGCTGCAATTGCACATCAGAGTAATAAAGAAAACAACATAGACCTATATTGTTGTATAGATAAAGAGCTGTGTTTAATATTCGAGCAGGTGACGATGTAGTGTAGTTTTATCGAATGGGAGCAAATAATACCAAATAGATGTCTTAAAAAGAAGCGGTGACCTGTGTTTGCTTCCACTCACCTATGATGAAGTCCACGAAGCTTGCAGCTTTCAGTCAACATCATGGTCACCTGCACCTCAGACGCATGATCTAAACAGTTTTAAAAGATACAAAAAATCAAGCAAGAAAGTTGAGTCATCTGGAACAAACAAGGGGGACGTGTGCAGTGAAACAACTGCAAAGGTAAGGGTACGTTTCTGCCCTCCCAGACACCAGGTAATGTTTGACTTATGAATGCATTTCCCTTGCCAAGATTTCTCTGCCAACAGTCATTGGTAGTTGGAAACTTAAGAGGAAAACTGACTAGTGCCAAGCTCAGTGTTTTTTAATCTGTGTGTGCAGCTTTGCCATCGTCTGGTTCTTATGGAAAGCAGCATTGTTCCCTACCCCAAAAGGCAAACGAGAAGGAAGTAAAAACTCTAACAAAACCAAGACTGGCATGAGCATATTGTTCACAGTCTGGTATCCACCACTCCCAAAGTAAACACCAGAAAGAGGACGAAAGGTCAAAAGGCAACAGGCAGACAAAGCTGACACACGCAGCTTACAAAGAACCTGACGGTCCCAAATACAGAGTTCTTTCACTGGCATGCAAACCCTGCAGCATGAGTAAGACATATTATTTATTAACTGTCAAATCTGTGTGAATGATCACTCAATTTAAACCATCTATAGCCATCGACTGAGGCCGTTAGAAAAGCACCTTCTATATCTTATAGACAGTGTTTGGTTAACAATCTCGGGGGGCTTACAAAAGAGAAAAGAATAAATCAAATACTACAACCTGACGACTGAAGTGTTCGCTATGTTTCAGACCAACAACCTCAGTCATCCGTCTTGTGTCATTAGCGTTATACAACCATGTTTTGGTCCAGTGACGTTCATTGAGGATTACAGTGTACGCTTCTTCTTAGAAAACCCACAGCGAGTTGCACATAAATATAAGAGATGGAAATACTTTCAACACACCTGTACTAACAATGCATTCATGTTTTTTTTGACAACTGTGCATTCAGCCTCTGTGTTGTAACAAATATGAAGCACTAAGAGTATAAAACTCAGCCCTCTGAAAACTGAAGCCAACTGTTTGCATTTTAGACCTAAAGTTGTTCTAACCATGAGCAGAGGAAGATTTCTCTGGTTGTAAGGCTGATTTAACAAATATAATATTTAATATTTCTTCTTCTCAGCTACTTTAAAATGTCAGTTTCCATTTTCCTTTTAAGTTTAAGCACTCAATTACTCTGTTTATAAATACCTCTTAGCGCTTTTATTGTTGGTTAAGAATGGTTCCCTTTTAAATCCAATAGATGAGGAAGCAGAGTATACTTTAGGACATGCCTCAATTGTGATTGATTACCTGCCACCTCATTGACCTTATCAACTTCTTGTTCATTGTTTGGCTGCATTAGAAGACAATCAAATTGGAAGTCATGGCTCTAATATTAAAACAGCCTTTCAGTAGGATTACAAATATTCTCCTTCAGGCGTTCACAAAAAAAGTATGTCACTGCTGGGTTAAACGTTTGCATAGTAGTGGCTCTCCTGTTGACCCCAGCCACAAGTTCCTGCTCTGCCTATTGACTTTGTGATGAATCCTGATGATGTCACAGATTTTAATTGCTTTCATTGGCTCAAGAACGGGTTTACAAAAATAACACCTTCATGGATCCATATTCTTTGTTGGTCTTTGTTGGCCTTCTTTACTGTTCAAGAAAACCGCTCCATGGATTTATAGACGTCGTGAGATAGGTGCTCTGAATTGAATTTTCATTTTGAGCCATAAGGGGTTATTTTGCAGCACTATTACCAGACACAATATGGAAGAAATACTGAGCAGCAGCAACCACTCCAGGTGTTTATAATCATTTGATTTTACCAATTGAAGTAGCGTTATTGTACACCGATAATTTAGTGTTTGCTAACCCTGAGCTGAGGTCAAATATAGCAAAAAAAATGTAAACTAAAGGCATTATAATGGTGGACCACAAAACAATATTTAATGTCACATTGGCTACCTCAAATTTTATTTGCAGTCTATGAATTAAGCACATACCTTTCACGGTCTTCACAAAGACCTGCTTTTCTTTACTGGGGTCCTTTTCATCCAGCAGTATGCCGTGGAAGATGCGGCCAAAGGTGCCTGTCAGAGACAAACCACGGGTATTTAGTGACAAAAAAAAGGGCAGGAGACACACAGACAGAGGCTTCACATTCAAAGACCTAAATGTCACCTCACTCACAGGGCACCATGCCTGGCTGATCCGTGGAAAGAGGTGGACAGGCTTTTCAAAATGGGGTTAGGCAGCTTTTGGCTCTTCAGTCACAGACATGAGCCAGAACAAGAAGGATTCACTGAAGCTCAGCAGACCTTTCATCACTCAGACGATTCAGAAAGACGCATGACGTGGAAAGGCAAAGTGAGCATGTTCATCATCTCCTTTGTCTGAACTGTCACCCCATTGCTCCAGGACTTCACAGAGCTAAAATACCATTTAAGCTTCAAGAAGATAAACCATCAACATAAACTTAGAAAAAAATGTAAGGCCTAAGGCCATCTCTGCCTTATGTTTCAACAGGAGAGAAAACGGAGCAAAACAACAGGGTTAGTGTGTAACTGTCTCCCTCCCTCCCTCTCCTTCTCCATCAAGCCTGTCTGGACCTGCTGGCCCTCAAAAACACAATCCAACACGGAGTTCAACTGCCTCGCAGACATGGCCTTGCACTTCTTGTATTTGTTCAATTTTGCTCCTAGCTTTAATATTTCATTTGCATTTGCTCTTGTTGTGTGCATTTGTTGTAGGATCTCATCTATGTGTTACCTGACTGACTGCCTGGTCAGCTTTCTACACACATCATGTAAGACAGGAACATGGATTGCTGCACAAGTACAGATGTTAAGTGTCTTTACCTGGAAATGTCTTACCTTCCTCTACTATGATTAACTTGCTGGCATAGAGTTAGATATGGTGCAACACTATATTTGTGCAATTTAGGCTGTATGACTGAGAGGGCATAACATTCAAAAATGTATTAAAGTAAACTCATGCATCAAAAACAGCATTTTATAAGGTTGAAGCTGTGTATCATGACTTTAGCAGATAGTTCTTAACTGTCATCTTTTAACTCAGTGATTTACAGCCCTTCGTTACTTTACAAGAATAATATGTAAAATAAAAAAGCATTGATTTAACTGACGCTGTTTTCACATATGCACTCCTGAAAATATCTAGATTATTTCAGGAGGACAGCTCCGGATATTCTCCTGACCTGGCTGTTCACATATGAACCTAACATCTGGAGACTATCCCTGTCAGACGGGAAGGGGGGGGGGGCAGGGGTATCCAGAGGTAAGACGTGACGTAAAAGAATGATGCGGAAGTGACAGAGGAAGCAACAGAGTCTGCAATACAATGCTATAACAAGAATATCTGAATTTATATCATTGCTATGTGTAGTTCAACAGAGTCACAATATCAACCAAAGGGCAGAGAAGATCATACTGACTAACAGAAAACTTAATGCATCCGTCAATTATGTGCAGAGATCGTAGTGGTCTCACATATTAACTCTATGCACTGGAGGTGAATTCTCCAGATTATATCTTGCTGATCACTCAGACTTCCTGTGGAAAGAATACTAGGGGTATGTCGGCTGAAACTCCGCATAAATCCAGAGTGAAACATATGGCTGCTTGCTGTCACACATGCAGTTCCTCCTGCAAATATCAGGAGTTTTCTGAAAGTGTGAAAGCATTTATAACTAATCGATCAGAGAAGGCTGACATGATGATTCTGCAGACCATGGCATGCAGTCGTAATCTAACTAATGAAATATTGTTAATGAAGATGTGGAGACCCCAGGAACAGTAGCTACTTTTGAACACAGAAGCCAATGGGGACAAACAATCAATCAAACAGATATCATAAAGCCTTAACAGTAGACCACAAATTACAATCAGTCTCAATCTTTCAAAGCTCGTCACATCCACAGCTAGCAATGATAATAACAGAATAGGAGATTATCTTTGCAAACATTGAGATGTTTTCAGTCTGGACAGTGGTAGCTTGACGACTCAGCAACGTCTTTTTAAAGCCATGTCATTGGCTAATTAAGAAATGTGTGAATACATCAGATAAAGGGGTCCTGTCACAGCCGGTTTATTGTAAACTAGTATTCAAAAATATTTCAACAGGGAGCACTGCTTCTGCCTTCTGATTCAATATCAGGAGAAATGACAATACAATCAGGTGGCATTTGAGTGGAATCTAAAAAAACAGAACACCCACACTTTCCTCTTCTACTGTGTTTCAGACACCCTTGGGTAACTATTACATCATTCTCACAGCCACACTAAACCCCAGTATGGGCAAATCTCCAGAAAGTGAAGTACAGTCTTGTTCAGCTCCATCACTCCATGACGATGCTGAATCGTGTCCAAGAGCGTCCACAGCTCAAGTGAGAAAGACGGATTGAGCCAAACTGAAGCTCCAATCTTTGTGTTTATCTTTGATATGAAGCCAAAGAGAGAGATTTAAGGGACGTCAGAGTCTTAGGCTTTCTGTCAATGTGTAATATGCCTCTGAAAGAACTTTTTTATGCTGTTTAAGATCCATGGTGAGTTTACACTTCTGCTGATCTGATGAGGAATGCTCACCTATTGCAAGGGGAAAATAAGCTTTTGTGTTTGAGGGTCAACACCTTTTTGTGACATACACATAAAGACATGTATAAAAACAAGAGTAACGCAGGAAAGAAATACGTCCAATTAACGGTTTTAACAAACAAGATCAAAGTGTTTCTGAAGGAGTCTCAACTACAGCTATACATTTTATTAACTAAGTTCTTAAAAGTTAGGTGTCATATTATGCTAAATAAACTATACCAGGTTTTTTCCAACATTAATATGTGTCCTAGTCTGTCTACAAACCCCCAATAATGAGAAAAGTCAATTTTCTCCTGCTACATGTGCTCAAACAGGCTCGTGTTTGTTCTGCCCTCTGAGTCTGACTTTCCACTGTAAACAATCGGGCATGATGCAAGAAAGCCCTAGCCACCTAATGCTGCATTTATGTGCTGCTCGGCTAGTCCAAGTGCCCGGGTTTGGAAGTCGTTCTTCCGACTTCAGTGTGTTCAAGTGATTTCAGATGGAAAGTCGGAATGTTGAAACAACAGCAAAAAAAGATCAGCAAAATGTCACTGTTAAAAGTTATATTTGAGAAGAACGTTGATGTGCAATACGTGGATTAATGAAAAATTTGTTAACATTAACAAAAAATATTTTCCCCCCTATGTGATGACAATTCTGACGTCAAGTTGGGCAACTAATTATTTTCCGAGTTTCCGAGTTGTTGTTCCGACTTGAGCAGGTGTTAATGTACATTTTACAACTCGGAAACTCGTTTTTCCGATGTGTCCGACACCATATGAATGCAGCATGAGCCCTTCTGGGGGGGTGTGTTCAGACACAGCTCATTTACATTTAAAGCTACAGACACAGAAACAAACTGTTCTGAGCAGGGCTGAAATAGAGGGGTTTATAGACATGATCAAATACAGGATCAGAGTGGATTTTTACCATTAAAGATAGGAAAGAGTGATACAATGTTGGTCATCAAACCTTTACAGCTATGCAATTAAAGCAGCTGCCTTCTTTTACATCTATAAGTTAAGTCATTTTCTGATATCTTTTTAACGTCATATCGTTTGAGGTGTAACTACAGGGTTGGAGGCTCAGGCTACCAAGTCATTTCAAATTGCTCCTATGAATCAGAGAAGTAACACAAAGAAACGTATTAGAACTATTAATCTGAGATGAGAGGCTTTTAAAGAATATTATCTTAGTTAGTAACAGAATAATCTACTGTAAAACACACTAAGGTGCTCTGAAGAACCTGTAGACCTGTTCCTTCAATATCAGCCATGATTATCATCATTTATATACAATATTTACATTCAAGTACCACTGGATGTTTTTAATGAGAACAGCCTTATAATTTAATATCCTGTTAATTTAAATTAGCTGACTTAACACCCAGTATCTGGCTAACTAGGAAACGAGCTTCTATCATATTAGTCCAAATGTAAGAAAGCACTCAGAAAACAACGGGTCCATTGGTGAGTCTTTCGTTAGCTTATTAGAATTGGGAGGCAAAAGAGGCTAATACAGCAAAAGGCAAATTCCAGGTTCATGTTCATGCATTCATGTACTGCTGCTATATGTATTTTATTGTATCTTCATATCTGTAGTGTAAGTTGTTTCTATTTAATTACACTGTAAATGGTAAAAGCCTAATTTAGATGGTATTTCCTGCATCGTGATGAATTCTTTTGAATCAATCTATGACTGTTCTTGCATTATTCAGAGGTGCTAATTATATAACAACTACTATTGGAGCATAATGGTAAAATAAGCCATACATGTCTTTTTTCCAACACTATTGACTGATTGCATCAATCATTTCAAATGTCATTAAAAACATGGCATCAACACTTGTAAATGCATTTCCATACTTTAGTTCTCCAGGGTTGTGTAATAAACATTTGGTAAATGTGTGGAGTCGGGCAGTGTTTTGGTATTTGCTTGGACTGTCTTTATTTGTATCTGTGTTGAATATTTTCTTAGAGCAGTGCATGCTTTGTCTAATTGATGAAGATGATTACTGGTACTTAAATGTATGCATTTTCTCAAATTATGTGTGTTTCGAGCTCTTGGGGCTCCTCTAATGGCCATGATCACAGTATTTGAATTTGTGGTTTTTCATTAGAAAATTCAGATGTTTCTGTAGGATAGAAAAGAGTTTAAAGGACAGAGAGAAAGAAAGAGGTCCAAAGGCAGAAAAGTACCTTCATGTAAGACATCTCGTAGAGTGACTCTCTCTCTTGAGATGGCAATGTCTTTCACTTTGGCTTTAGCCTCCATTAGAGTAACACTCCTCAGGTCATTCTTTTCTATTCGCAGAGATGGATAACCTGTAAGGATGAAAAAACACAGAATCAAAAAGGAGCTGCGTGTAAACAGAACACCTAGAATTTGATTGCCAGGTCTTTTAACCCTGAATAACTCTAGAAAACCTCCTGCGGGACTTCTACTTTGCATCACTTACTTATCCTGACAGAAACACATTTCTTATTCATAGGCAGGTTTTTCACTCAAATACAAAGAATCCTTGTTTGACTTCAAAGAATCATTGCACTTCCAAGAAAAATGATCTGTGAAACATCAAGTAACCTGCACATGTTGCATCAAAGCAACTTCGTATGAAGTCCTGTATTACAGCACGCCCATTGCCTAACCTCCTTTAGCAGTCACCGTCATAAGCCGCTGTTTTAAGCAGCTCATGACATCAGCCGAGTGACACAAAGGTTCCCCACAATTTCAGCACATGCAGTGTTTCCCACACACATCCCACACGATATCTTGGTGGGCCGCCCAAGAAAATGTATGGCCGACCAAGTATACTTCCGACCTGTTTTTATTTAATTTTTCATTTATTCATAAAATTGCTGTGTGCGCGACACAGAGAAAGAGAGAGAGAGAGAGAGAGAGAGAGAGAGAGAGAGAGAGAGAGAGAGAGAAAAGAGAGAGAGAGAGAGGGCTCTCTGGACTTCGCTCCAAGAGAAAGAGAAAGAGAGAAAGAGAAAGTTCACTGTCTGTACATCCCTTTTGCTTATATTAAAACTGAAGCTTCTCATGGATTCGTTTTAAAAATGTTAATATACAGCTGCTTGCTGCTGATTTTGTGCTGAACCCCAATTAATGAAATATCGAGTGGAACTTGATAATGCGAGACGTACTCCTGGTGTTTGTGTCTGTGCGTGGATAAACTGAGCAGATTTAAGTTGTTTGTTGCAAAAACTAAATTAATGTAGAGGGGAAAACACATTTGATATAAATACAAACCTAATATTATAATATACCCTAAGATATTTACTATTTTAAATGTAAACCTGAGTTGTGATTTTCATGAGACTGAAGCAGAGGAAACCATGAGGGTTCAGGGACACTTTAGCAATATGAGGTACTTTGCTTTAATAAAAGGTTTACATCTCTGCAGCAGCAGGTAATCTGAAGAGTGAGTACTAACAAAGTACAGCTCAATGCTGCCCCCTAAATGTCCAACTAAGAATGACATTTGAAAAACAGAGACAACAGGAGCGCTTCTGGTATCCCTCAAACCACCGGTGCTCATGAAGGGAAAACTTCATAAAAAGGGGAGGAGGACTAAAGACCAAAAAACATTCGTATAAATAATCCAGGTCCAGGCACTCAGTATGGTTGATAAATGTAAAAGGCCTTTAATTCAATGGACTAGCATGAAGAAGGCGCAAGCTGATACGCGTTGATGTTTTTTTTTTTTTTTTAATGTTGTAGCACATTGAATTAAAGGCCTTTTATATTTTTCAACCATCCTGAGTGCCTGGACCGGATTATTTACACAAATGTTTTTTGGTCTTTAGTCCTCCACCCCTTTTTAAGAATGACATCTGTTTCACAATAAAAAACAGGGACAATAAGACCTTTAAGATTCAAACAGCCAAGTACATTATCTAAAAACTGGTAATAATAATAATAATAATAAGAACAGTACATATGTTAACTTAGAGGCTACATATTGACTTTGTACTTAAATCAGTAGTGTCTGGTTGTGCATCACTGTTTAGACTTTCACTTTAGAAGGTTCAATGAAAAGTGTATAGATGTCCTGAACTGATATTGTTGTCCAACTCAATATTAAATCATATTTGTATATGAATACTGGCTGCTGTGTATGACCTTTTATAACATGATGTTTTAGTATTTAATAAACATGTAAAAATACTCGACCTTTCTCTACTTGTAACGGCTACTTTGGACTTCCAATAACAGATACATCCGACATTACTTCTGTAATTCTGAAATTATGCAATTATTTAAATGTTTTTCTTCTGATTGTTGTCAAAAATCATGACAATTGTTTTTAAGTAGGCAAATAAATCGTATATATGTATCATAATGTTCTCTAACTGTATCAGCAGTAATTGAACCAGCATCTCGGTCACTGTAATGTATTAACACATAGCACAATACAGTACAAGACAAAGGGCGACAGAGGATGTTAATGTAAAGCAGGTGTGACGCATGCAGAAGCATTTTTAAGTATAGAAAGATGAAACCATACTGTTTATACAGTATTTATCAAATCTGAGTAATGTTGACAGACCACACATTATTAAAATGTACATAAAGAGAAAAATAAAAATAGGATTCTGTATCTCAAGCTGCCTCCGGAGCTTCACTGGAACTTACTTTTGGTTTCATGAGGGGGAGCGCCGGGGTTTTGGAAGGAGGAGGCAGCAAGCTGGAGGATGGGTGCAGAACCAGGGTGATTGTCTGATAACAAGAGGAGAAGGGGGAGGAGGGAGTGGAGGGGGGAGAGAGTGAGAAATATGTGATTTAATGGGTAGCTCACTCAAATTACAACATGACTTGAGAGAAAGTATTTTTCAGCTCAAATAAATTAAACATCAAAAAAGTCATGTTTGCAAGTTGGGTGAAGCTGTCCATTAGGAGTTGGGTTAAATAACCGGGGGTGGATGGTGATGTAAATACACACATTCAGCAAAGCATAAAGGAAAAGGAAGTCGCTCAAACATAATGCATACAAGGTGTAGTGTTCGCTGAATCCACAAGGGGGCAATGAAGGCTCATACACTGACAATAAGGAACATCAGCAGCTGGTGTCTGAACCATTGAGATCACTATTTATAAGAAATCAATATTAAAGCCACTTATATCTCAGCAGGGTTGGAATCTCTTCAAAGAAATATCACCCTGAATATTAACAGCTAGCTTTATAACAATCTCACTGACCAGCTGCTGTCAAACTAAGTCTGGAGGATAACTATGAACGGGATGCTTCAGCATGGAAATAAAAAATAAATGTTTCTGGTTGAACTGAAACCTCATCATCTCATTCATTATGTTAAGAGAAAATGTATCGTTTCACTGTAATAAAACTATTGAAAATACTCAGGAGGAGTTTGATGAAGCTCCTGTGTTAGAAACTAAACGGTTCGCCCTGACACTTTGTAAATAAGCATCTCAATATTCATTTATTTATCTCACTGTGTGTGACAAATCTGTTAACTTGCCGTGCAACCACAACCTTTGCAGGCTCTAGCATGTTTTTGTTCCAAACCAAAACATTTTCTAGCACTTAACACCCTCTTGAACAGAAGTTTGTTGTTTTAAACGTCTTTTTTTGTGATAAAATCAACAAAGAAGATTAAAACTTGTTCATTAGTGGTCCTTAGATTTGCTTGCAGACAAATTAAGCACTGATTGAACAAAGCAGGGCTAGCTGTTTCTCCTTGTTTAGTCTTTATACTACGTTAAATTTCTGGGTGCTGGCTGGATACAAGAGTGTAACCAATCCTCTCCTCTCTTCTGATTCTTAGTCAGAAGGAAACATATTTCCTTTCAATATAAAGCTACTGCCCTCAGCCAATTAACTTAGTATTTAAAAAAAAAGACAGGGAACTAGAGAACTGTCAGAGGAAAGTCTGTAAATCTCCTTTGTTTTAACCAATCAAAAACCTAGACAGGACAAACAAGAAGTTTTACAGAAAGACACATTTACCCTGGTTCCAGTCCTGATGCTTATCTAGATTTAAAGACTTCTTACTGAAGCATGATATTTAGAGGACATGAGAGTGGTAACATTTAAACTTGTTAAACAGTCAGAACTCGTATATAATCTGGGTCAGAGGTGGTATTCAGTGTGATGCTTTTAACTGAATAAACCAAAACGTCATATCATTGCCCTGCTAGTTTCGCAGTAATTAAAAGTCAATCCAGTACTGAGAAAGGTTCCTTCAATGCTTAGACTTTGCACTTACTTTAACCTTGTTACAGAGTGTCAGTATTCCCCATCAAGTTCTAAAATTACAACAATTCAGATTAGATCAGTTCTTGCAGGTTCTAATATAAAAGACTGCTTTGTGCTCCTCTAACTGCTGAACAGCTGCTCCGATGCAAAACGCACAGTAAGTACATTTACATGTTGCTCAGACATTAATGGGTCACGAGGGGAGTAGCAACCAAAAGAACATGGAACAACCCTGCAGGAACTCTGTTCTTCATTACACTCTTGTGATAGGAGTTAAGCTAATTAGGTCATTCACAGTCCATTATTGCATTTGGAAAAGCATGTGCATTTGCGGATGCCAGTGTGAGAAGAGAAACAAAACAACCATGGGTGATTAAATCAGGCTGAATGCGCTGGAACGCTTCTAGATGCCGTCTTGTAAATCCACCGACATGCCTCAGATGCGTTCAGAATGATACAATAACTGATGTTTCATCTTGTTTTTTTATAGCCTTTGGGTTAGTAAAATGTCTTACTGGTGACAGGAGCAGCGTTGTTTGGAGTGTCCGCCCTCAGGTACTGTGTGGTCTGAGTGGATGGCTGGGACAGACCCTGTGAGCTTCCACTGTCACTCACACTGAAAATACATCAAGAGAAACAAGAGTGTTTATCCAGAGGCACCTAGACTGAGTAACACCAGCAATTGATAAATCCATTATCCATCCATTCCAAGTGTAATTCATCAGTCATTCCAAGGTTTTCATGACTATAAGTCAATTTCAATGTCAAGATTTAGCGCTAGATCTTGGTTATGTGTAAAACTGATCACTGTCCAAACAAAAACAAACGAACAATAAATCAACATGCAACATGGGCTGTGCCGTTTCATTTACACTTTCAGCGTATAAGGTTTACTTTGCTTCTCTAACATAAAACAATGCTGGACAAACTAAAGAAACAAACCTGTCCTCCATCTCCACTCTCTTCATGCTGTGCAGGTGCAGGATGGCCAGGATAATGGCCACCAAGAAGATGACAATGCAGCACACACTAACACTTATATAGAACACCTGGGTGGAGGTGGTGGGAGCAGTCACTCCATCTACTGATAAAAAAACAAGCCACACATTAGGACGAAGAGAAACTCAGGGGGGTGGGGGGGGGGAATCATTGCACACATTTAATTGTTGTACAGAGTTTCAACAGTGTATGCTTTTATTAAAAGAATCTGAGCAGAAACTTGGAGTATTTCTGTTCAGGCAAATAGATAAAGACATGAGTGAGGGCAGGGAGAAAGTACAAGTGCACCTAAGGCTCAACTTAGCAATAATGGAGGCCTGGAATAGTGGAGAATGTGCCCAGGATCCAGTGTCTGAGAGCTTTTCTCATCACCTATTTAAAAGCCTCTGAGGGCCCCAGGTTCCTCAGGGCTACCCAAGCAGAAGAGAGACAACCCACTAATGGTACTTTGTTACTGGTGGCAGTGGGCTCACAAAAGACTCTGAATAAATGCCACTGAAAGAGGACCACCATTCAAAGGGGTGGGGGCTGAGAGGGTGAACTTCAATAGGTGAATGCTTCCTTCTCTTTAGGCTCCAAAATTAAATCCTGTAATTATGGATGTTTGACTAGTGTGCACTGCTATACAGAGAAACTTTTCATTACAAGCCCAGCCCGTCGTATCAGCTTGATGCCACCTTTGATAGGCAACACATGGAGCTGCTAGAGAGAGAGAGAGAGAGAGAGACAGAGAGAGAGAGAGACAGAGAGAGAGAGAGAGAGAGAGAGAGAGACAGAGACAGAGATAGAGAGAGAGAGAGATAAAGTCGAGCAGGATGCAGAAATAAGATTACTTACAGTCAGGCCGAGGAAGAGTGTTATTGTTGAGAGGAATGGCAATCTTGGGGTCAGACTCTATTCCTGTCGAAAGAGGAACATAGACAGAAAATCTTCAGCCCCTGTGTCGAGTAAAGACTTAATTTAAAGCAGCAAAATGCTCATTAAGCCGTTTGCAGGGTCATTTTACAACATTAAGTTATTAGCCCTTTTTTAGACAGCTTTTTTTCACAAAGGTGTTTTTCCTCAGGTGTATGTACATCCATATTGATTCCACGACTTTCTAATAGTGGTGTCCCAGTCTGTGTATGCCAGCGTTTCAGAAGCAAGTCACAGCAGGAGCTCCACATAGACACACAGTCAGACATGCACGCACACACAGCGCTGTGCTCCCTCGCTGGCTCAGCTTGCACCATCCCGCCTCTGTTTCTACAGCCGAAGAGAGTACAGAGAGTGGATCACTTCATCCCCCCCATTATGCCTCCCGACATTCATATTGAAGGAGAAACATCACAGGGGCGTAAATACTGTCTGAATAGGGCCAGTGATACGATGAAATGCTTTACGATGCAATACCAATGGGTTATATCAAAAAAGCAATATAAATATATATATAAATATAAAAGCGAGTGATTATCAATTCACTGGCGTCACATAGATATATTAATTAAAAAAGTATGGGGCTCTTTACTGATTTACCTGCCAATTAGACTCAACGAGTCACTACTCCATGACTCCTCATGGCAGCTCTTATGAAATGGGTCAGGGCAACGTAAATGGAAGTTAATGGGTTAAAGAAGCAGGTAAAAGAAGAGTACAGTGAAATGTCAGACAGCAGTGCAAAGAAGTTAAGAGATGAAGTGTGAAAATGGTGACTGACACAAAATGACAGTGAACAAAAACATGAATCCTGCACATTCCTGTTTTAGGGGCATTTCATATTCTCTAGTTAATCAGATTTAGATTTACATGTTTGTCTTTCAATCTATGTAGAATCACTATATTGTGATAAAATCGTTACAGGTATGCACTGATGCATTGGTTCAACAACGGTATCAGCCTATATCGGTCCTGTTGAACAGATGTCGATGTTTATTTGTTGTGACAAATCACCTTTATGCTGACATGACATCTTGTACACCTGACTACTGATTCAGAGAAAGGGTTTTTAGGGGCAGATGAAATCAACTGTTGGACAAACTGACTTGTTTTCATTGTAAAACGAAAGATAAAGTTTGTGGCATTGTGGAGTCATGAAACAAACATCGGAAAAGGCAATCGGTAATCAGCTACCAATCAATTGTTATTTCAAACGTTGGTATCAGTATCGTTACAGATTTTCCCAATTAATGCATCTCTAAATCGTTATCGTGGGTCACGCTGCTGAAACAACACTTACTGAACATTGTAGATATTGTGCATTATCGACAGCAAGTAGTATTCATTGCTAAGAACCAGAAAGGAATACCTTGGACTTTGTAAGAGGCCAAAGAACAAAAACCTGAGATAGTTTTTAAACACAATGTCATGAGTTCCTAAAGATTCCAGTATTGAAAAGGTCGGTAAGCCAAGGTGATGATAATAAACAGCAGACACATCAATGGCTGTCCTCTACTACAAGGCTACAGGCACAATCATAAAAAAAGGGTTGACAGGTTTTTCTCAGCATACATCTCACATTACCATTACACCACCATTGAGGCATACAAAGATTTTCTTACAGCCACTAATTCCACTCATGCTCAAAATAAGATGAGTTTGTTTCCATAAGAAGTACAGCAAGAAACCTCTCGGCCATATATAATTATCTTCAGGCTGTTTGAGAATAGCACAAACTGAATACAGAACACAAAAACCTGTACATTTCTCACTGTGACTCCTTAGCTTTTAAGTTAACAACATTCTCCACAATAAAATATTACTATTTTAATTTCATCTATGCTGTCATATAAAGAAGTCCTCCACAAAGGTGGATAGGTAATAATGCTGATTAGCAAAGAAAGGCAACATTGAATAGAGTTGTACTACTTTCTTAACATGCTTTTGTTCAAACTATGACTTGATTGCTCAGATACTCACTTTTATAGCACATTTTCCTCCTTTTGAAGTTGAGCACTGTGTAGTTGTTGGCGTGTATGGTCAGATTGAGCTGCACTGTTATAACAGCCTCTCCATCCACCTTGCCTGAACAGAAGAGGTCCACTCTGAAGACTGTTGAGACACACACACGTTAGTGAGAAAACTTCCTGCAATGCAGAATTCATGGTTTTAACCTGTGGCAACAATCACCAGTTAAAGATGCATTCAATCAGTGATTATTACAAATGAAAATATATCATTGCACTTAAAATAAATTGAGATGCCGAAGGACATATTGAGTTATCTAAAGGGCTAGCAGTTACACAATGTGAGACCATGTTTTTAGTCTATGTGCTAAGCTAGTCTGCAACTCCATTATCATGTTCTTTATGATAGTTGTGAGCAGGCCCGTCAGAAATGGCCTGGCCCCTGAAAGGCCCAGTGAATGGGCCCTCACAGGATATGATTTAAATCAATGTATAGTCCTGGAATGGCTAAAGTCATCCAAACAACTCTGACATAACTGGCATAACATTAAAGTTCACTCACTTAATTTCATTACGTCAGCAACATTATAAAAGAAGAAGAGAAGTTTGGCACAGGTCACAATTTACTAAAACAACAATAAAATGTGTGTTTTTGTTGTTTTGTATCACTGCTTATTTGGATATCACAGAAGTGTCTTTAGATTAAATGCAATATGAAGCTATGAGTTAACCAACATTAGCCAGAGTGAGCTAACATTAGCCTGCTAACACAACAATGCAGGCCACAGGCAATTACAGCTCGAGCCAAGGACAATTATGTCCGCTGCTTGCGCTTAATGGTGCATAAATATGGTGCTTTCTAATTCATAACTCCTTTGTGCGAACGCAATCGGGAGGGGGATTTGAGGTTTGCAACCAAACAGAAGTTTGTTTTGGTTTCATGCTGTTGCTCGAGGGCAATATCTACTGGATCAAAAAGTCGCACATTCTTCCTTGAAAGAAGTGTAGATAAATGACAAATAGCAATACAACAGAAAGGGGAACAGTTGACCAACCAGAGGGAACACGGGGCACCTCCCCCTGGATGGAGATGTTGGTCCGGGGTTGGTTCATGGCAATAGGATTCTCTATGTGGAAGCCAAGCCGGTAGTCAACCTAGAAAAATCACACCAAAAACTGTCAGCATATAAATAGGAAGTAAAGTGAAAAAAACTAAAATTCCTGATGCTGATAGTGACCTTTGTCTTGGAATGCCATGTGAAGTGAAGGCTGTTGGTGTCACTGGGCACCGGCAGGGTGAAGGAGAGAGCATAATGATTCACCACATTGTCCCGCACATAAAAGAGCTCTGCATCGAGGCCTGTGTGAGGACAGAAGACAGAAAAGTTCAGGGATGTTAACTTAATATAGTTGTTATCATGAAGGAAAACACCAAACACAACATAAAAGACAACATATTTTCTAATTAAGAGAAAATCTAGCCAGCCCAAGGAAAATGGTCAAATATCCAATCAGCCTGCCAGCTTGGATTTGGAGAGTTTCCCCCACAATAAGAGAGATGGACTAACCACATCTGTTAGTACTTGAGACCTCTTAGTGCCCAAGTGGAAAACTTCAAAACGTTCAAGTGAGACAACATCCAAAATATGACCACAATTTTCTAACCAGGGAACCAAATTGTGCAGGGTAAGGGTTAAGAGGAAAGTTTTGGAATGCCTTAGATATAAAACAATTTTTAACTTAACTATGAAACATCCACTCTGTGCAAACATTCACACGTCATCATAAGCTTAGGGACTGCTTAAGTACATGAACATTGGAGAGCTATACAAATTCATTTGTTTCTTCATGTAAAAAAAAAAAAAAAGAAAATCAAGCTTCAGAAAGTCTTTCCATTGGGTTCCTGCTGCATCAAAAAGTCTTTCCATTGGGTTCCTGCTGCATCAAAAAGTCTTTCCATTGGGTTCCTGCTGCATCAAAAAGTGTGCTGTTGAAATCCCCGACTCTGGCCTGGGGCAGTGCTATCAGTCCTTGAAAGCGTCTGTGTGGCAGAGCCGGGTCTGTCTATCAGTCTCCAAGTATCTAGTTTAAAGAGAGGGGAAGAATGTGCCCAGGCTCCCCCCAATACCCTGGGGCTGTCTAAGAGCTGCAGCTCTTAGACCGCTCTCACATTGGCTCAATTAAAAACATTCTCAGGCATTTACCAACTTAAAGAGGGGATGGGTGTTACGTAAACTGCTGCCTTACCAAGCACACAGAGTAAGAGAGCTGACATTTATATCCATTATTTAGTGCAAGCTGTTTCTTGTTCATTCCAGTAAAATACTAAACAAATAAAACTAAGATCTATGAATGTACATTACTTTCATGTAAATAAATATATGGTCAACTTTACATCATTGTTACCACTTATGTGGTTGGCTATCTTAATTACACACACTGTAACCAAAAGATCAAAATCTGAATTAGGGCTTTCAATCCTCGTCTATGATCACATCCAAACTGTGTTCTTGTAATTTTCAAATTTTCTTCAAATTTGTATGCTCAAATCTAATAATTAATATTTAATATGCATGTACATATCTTATTCTTTGTACAGTTTCCAATGCAATTATCAGTATGTAGTTACACATTTTGTTCACTTGAAGAAATCCAACATTAAAGCAACATTAAGCCTAGTTGCCTCATAGCGTGCTGGAGCAATGATTCATTAAAGGTTCTTTAGTAATGTTTTCCTCATTTTATTGCCATAAACTTCGTTCTGAGTTTTATAGTTTTATAGTGTTTAGTGCGCTTAGTCTCTGCTGGTAATGTACCAAAGGCCTCGTAGCATTGCCTTCTGAATGACTCTGCATGGGAATATTGGCGCATAATCCAGATAAAGACTCTATTGTGATTCCAGATCAATAAATAACGAGTTATCACTTAACTCCAAACATCACAAACAAGAAGGTTTGGCAGAAAAAAAAGGCAATAAGGCAAACGTGTTAGCAAATAGTGGCTTAGTTACACATTATGAAGGAACATCCACTTGGCCATTTATTTAAATATTCGTTTGTATACATGCATGATTTAATGTTATCATTTACTTTATTTATTTATTTATTTTACCTAGTCCTCAGGGGAACATTGAGCAAAATATCTGCCATAAGTTTGACTATTTTCACATGACTATTCTTGTTTTGTTATCTCGTAAGAGCAGGTACATACTGTTACTTACGCTTTAAATAAGACACAGGAACACAGAAATCAGGAAGTCTAGGCACAGGCTCTTATGTGAATATACATGTACACACAACAGATGGACCCAAGGCCACACAGTTACGTTCTGTAATAATTGCCTCTCTTAAGCTCAACTCTGTGTACTTCTCTTGTCTCAACACATGGCCACACTGCGTTGATGCCAATTAAAGCATGCAACCAGGCATAAAGGCCCAAAGACCCTCCCACAACATCTCAGCCATTGACTTAAACATAACTACAGTAGTTCACAACTGGAATGTAAAGGAATAGCAACAAGAGCTCGACTGTGTACATAAAGTGAGAACAGGGAATAAGTGGTTCTTAAGGTTAAGGAATTTGAAAGGAATGGAAAAGCAGCATTAACTTGAATGTGTTCTTAAACAAGATCCTTATAAGTAAGTGTTTGTTCACAACAACATACTAAGAGCTCCCCTTCATCACTTCCTTGTAGCCAGTACAGATGCAAACATCGAATGCTTTCAGCTTCTTTCAACACTAATGGAAAATAACATCATCATTCGGAATTCCAGTGTGATAACTTGGCAGCCTGTTATGTTTCGAGGGATTATTTCCTGCTGGACATTTCCATTTCTCTCTCTGTTGGTGTCAAGTGATTAACAACAACAGCCAGCACACAACACGCTGATCTTAAAACACATTCAACTGCAGCACGCTTCAGCACAAACACTTTACAATGGCACAACGGATCAAAACAAAAGCCTCACGTTTAGGTAATAGATCTAGTATTTTCATCATTTTTAATCATAGATAATGAGATATATGACACAAAACTTTGTTGTTGAAATAGTGGTAAAATACAAACACTTCCATTAGTTATTCTTAAATCATACTTATACCTGCCAGAGCCTGATTCGTCTTCAGTATGAACCATTTCACAAGAATTGGCCAAACCAAGATGTCAGTTAGATCCTCTATCAAGAAGCACATACCAATGTGTCTAACTATGTTTGGATAAAACAAGGTGTCATTGATGCATCGTTTGGTCCACAGTCACATGCCAACTGTTTCAGTCAGTGCTACGGTAAACTGTTTATTCCTGTCATGCATGATGACATATTGTGGTATTGTTGATTGAAAATGAAGGTCAAAGTCATTTTTGTATATCAGATCAAACTATACAAAATCAACAATCACACCACAGCGCTAAAACCTGGTCAGTGTTTTACTGGTTTCTGTTACTCCGGACGATGTTGGTCCTTTTCTTAGTTCAACAAACTGTCACAGCCACGTGGCTTTAAAAAGTAGCATCTGTTTAGTGTGTGGATCTTTTCAAAGCCAATTCAAAAAGCACATGTAGGTATAAAAAAAACAAAATAGGGACCCTTCAATGACTTCTCATGATTTAACTTCTTAAATTAAGAGGTATATTCCACCATTATAACTCAAGCAGTTAGAACGCTTTATCCTCTGCTTTAAGAGGAATTTGAATATTTTAACCTGCGCCCAATTTGAATCTAAATACAGGTCTAAAAGGCCTTGTCCTACAGCAATGTTGAAGCTTGTCAGTGGCAAAAATGAGCACTTTCAGTGGACTTGCCAGCCAAACCACTGAAACCAGTGTCATCATATATAGGCAGATTAACATACTTGTCATACTCTGGCTGATTTTGCAATAACTCAGCAGACTATTGTTACTTAACCTTTGTCTATCATCGTTTTCAGTCAGGTGCCAACTAGAGGTCAGACACAGCCTTTTAATATACGATTTTGAGATCTACTTCAGGATCATGCCATTGTTCAAAAAACATCTCTGTGTTGAAAAAAAGATTCCCAGAAATACAAAAACACTAGCTTCAACAGAAATCGAAACAAAAGTAATAACATGTTCTCATTCAAAAACACCCAGCTGACATTCCTAGAGTACCAACACATTACACCTAGGAATTTTTCCTATTCACACAGTCCTCTGATGATGGCTGCGAAGCAGCTTTACTGGAGTATGATTTAGTTTCTTTCTCCAAGACATATAAACACTTCTTTCAACAGTAGCCATTCCTCCTCCGGCATTTTTCATACTGGTGAAGACACTGACATAGAGGAAGATACTTGTAGATAAAACCATATTCAAAATCACTATAAATGTATTAAAAAGAAAAATTATTTCTTTCATGTTAGGATGTCATAATAAAACTGTAAATCATAAACAAATCAGGATCATTAAAGCAAATCTAAATCTAGTCTAAACATTTTGGGGCTCTGCAGGTCTTTGAGTCAACATGCAGTTTTTCCTCTGCGAGCTGCTGATCACATTGCAGACTTTGAACAAGGAGAACAAAAGGTGGCCATGACCAGGTGGTAAGGTCCAGGATGGATAACAAAGACCCTCTTGTGCACACAGTCAACACTATACCTCCCAAAGTCTTCATCCCTGAGTGCTCAGGAGATAAACGCCCCCCTTAGTGTTCACTGGAAGATACTGGTCACATTAAACAAGGAAGGAGAAAATGAGGGCCCGCGTGAAACTCTATCAAGTGGAAACTCCAAACAAATCCTCAGACATGAATGAGACAGGAGAAGGGAGAATAATGTAGGCAGGATCTCGAGATTTAAGATATCAGACACGCTGGTAAAACTATTAACTGGACAGAACTGTGACTAAAAAGACATGAAGCTAAAATCTTAATGGATTGAACATGCAAAGCAGCTGCCTCACGCTCCTCACTGTAAATTTGCCAATCAGAAAGACACAATAATGGCTAACTGGATGAATTTACAAGCTTATGTTTAAATGCAGGATGTTTAATGTCCAAAAGCATAAATGGAAATACTTTGTAGTGCACATAAAAAGTGCATGATAGCTTTTTTCCAGAAAATCTGATTTTGGCTCTCTTCTCAAAACAGATTCCCTCTGCTTCAGTAACATCCACTCTCACGCAAGGAACTGGGTTAACAATGTCAGCAGGAAATCACCTGACATGCCATCCCATCTCACAGTCAGCTCTCAGAGATGTAGGGCACTTGTGAGAGTTGTTTTGCTGTAACTACTTATCCAGGTAATAAAGTCTGCAGGAGTGGGGGCTGAAAGTCTGGGTTGTCCTTCAGTTTGAACCTTCACCATACAACCTCTTTCTGGAACAGTCTGCATCTGAATTAAGC